GCTACAGTATTTAAACAGATACATGAATCAAACTAGCAATTCTCTCCTTTTATTCACACCAGTCTAGAGTTTAATGACTAAAATTATGTTTGTCCCTCGCCGACATAAAATGCACATCCACTCAATGTTAATGAAATTGCGATTACATTTAATTTTTTCCTCTCCCCTCCTAAACCCCTTTCCCGTACGCCCACTGTTCACTTTCTCTCATGTGTATGTGGAGCTGCACATCCCAAATGGGTGTTTTGCTGTCTTGAATTCCTTAATTATTCGATTTAACAATGAATTTCTAAGCTGTTGGTGTCTGAATAATTTTTTGTTTGTTTCTAATTGAATCGATATCAACGTTTACAGAAACATAATGAGTTATAGCCTAGATTGGCATTGAGAAGAAAAAATGGTTTCTTACTGAAGGTTTTTACCTCTGCTCCGAGCCCAAAAACATACACTCGATAAACAACATTTCAAAAATAAAATAGAGGTAACTTTGAGCACCAATTTTTTAAATAATCAACCGCATCTCATCTTAATTAAGCACAAGGAGAAGGAGTTCCTTCCACGCAAGAAGTTTTCACAAAATTAGCAATGATTTAATCTAGCATCTACCCATTAACACAAGAACATAAGACTTGCACAATTTCCCACGTAAGGCTGAATACACACATCTGCATCCAACTGAACACTTGATCTTAATCAGAAAAAGAATCAAAATCCCATGACAAGCAATGTCCCACTGGACATTACATGTGAAACATTGTCGTGTGTGTATGTACATATTAAAAAAAAAGCCTTACGAGATAGATTTTCCATAACAAACTTAATTAAGCCTCCGAGAGCACATTTGGCGGAAGTAAAATGAAGAAACCATTTCTAACCTGGATAAATCATCGCAGCTCTGGGGCAAAGCCGAGCATTCACTATCATTCAATTGCTTTACAGCAAAAAAAAAGTGTTTTTTTGAACACTTTTCTTCATTGTTTATTTCGTTGACTCATTCCTTTCATCAATCGTACTGTGTAAGCGCTCCGAGACCCTCCAGGCGTGAAGGGCGCTATGTAAATGCAAATTGTTGTTGTTGTTTCCATTTCTGCTTCTCGAACTTTAGCATTTCAAATCGACAGCTTTTTTTTTTTAAAAAATTAAAATGACTGATGTTTCAACCTGGGAATTTATTTGTGATGTAAAAACTTAACGAAAGAGGTTTTTTTTTTTCTTTTTAACTAAAGAAAATCTGGATCAATCTGCTGAATGAGGTCATGTGTGGCCTGATTTCTTTTTCAAAAAACTTTCTTTCTCACCAGTGACTGACATTTACTGAACGTTTCAATCAGAATCTCCTCTATCAAGAGCAATCTCTTGTCTTGTCAAATCAATTTAATCAGCCTGCAGGACAGAGCTGAATTATTCAAGAACCAGATCGATCGAAATGAGCAAGTCCTGACAGTGCAGCTCTGATTATGACGGCTGACAGACACTTGCAGTGTGATGGGTGACGTGGACCGTTAAATGACCAGGGCTTCGGAATAAACTGAAGTTAAAACTTCTCTAAAATACTTTTGAAACATTTAGAGCAGGTTATTCATTTTGCAGTGTATCATGAATGCATTTGAGCTCAGTGTGAATCAAGGTCGTACCAGGGTAGACAGAGTCTTTCAGGAGTCCTGTAGCTCAGTGGTTAGAGCACTCGCCTCGCAAGCGAGAGACCTGGTTCAATTCCCTGCAGGGTGAAACCTTGTGCAAGTTTCCTTACTCCACACGCCTGATAATAATCCCTCAAGAAAAATAATAATTTGGTCACTCAATCCACGGCTGTTCGTGGGACGCTGCTGTGCGCAATTGGCTGCCGCGTTTCGGCCACAAAATATACCGTCAATTCACTTTACAGTCTATTCTGTGAAGGGTTTTGAGACGTCTCGAAGACATGAAAAGTGCTATATCATATACAAGGATTATTATTGTTATTATTATTTGGGTAAAGAAACAAGATTCTCTTATATTAGGAATGATAGCAACAGAAAAGGGCTATTCGGCCCATTCTGACCATTTTATTAGACTGCGGCAGATCACTTCATCCCATTTCTCCAAATCCCCTAATATCCTTATTTCCCCAAGTATCTTTCTCCCTGAAACGGGGAACTCAACTTTGTTGAAAACATGTACGTGGCAACGCGCACATCCAGTTTATCAATTTCGCAATCCAAACGAATGTTATTCCCATCAATATGCATCACGTTGCCTTCATCCACATTGAACTCTAGTGCAGACTCATTACCTGGGTTCCTGAGCCTCTCCAGATCCATCTAAACACCATCAGTATTTTGTCAACCCACATAATGATGCGGCATCAACAAGAGTACAAATTCGGCTTTGAATTAGTCAATTAGTGTAGGCTGTGAGGGGCAGACTGATCTTTGGGGAATCACTATGCTCCATTTCAACAATTACTGGTCATAATTTTCCTGTATTGCCCATTATTTAGCCATTTTTTTGATCCATTTTAGAATCCTGCTAATTCCAGTATTTTGTCAACTACCCCGACTCAGGTGCACTAAACTGACCCTTTATTATATTTGACCTGCCTAGTCCATAAAGCTTTCCGAGACATTATCCTACCTGGAAGGCATTATATAAGTGCAAGCTGTGGTTGATTGTTACAAGAAAAAATTCACAGGATTTCTTGATCTAAAAATCCAAGAGAGCACTCCCTACATTAATCAGAAACACGTGACTTTGATAGAAACCCGCTTTAAAAGTGATAACAATTATCCTTGCGATTGATATAGTGCCTTGTCTTGTTGAGACGTCTCAAAGCGCTTCATAGGAAATTCTGTAAAGTGGATTACTGTGTATTTTTGTGGGAGAAGAGTAGATTGAGTCAGCGTGAGGTTTTCCTGTTTGAAACTGCTGCATTTAGGGCATCACTGTCATTGGGGCTACACAGAGGAAATTTTGTCATTTGAAAAGTCTCAGAAATACTAAATGTGATTAAAGCAAATTAAACTGACATTAGCATCCTGTCTCTTACACTGTCATGTTATATCAAGTCAATTGCTAATCATTTTAGGGTTATAGAATCTATTTACCAGCACAAACAATAGCTAAGCTAGCCAAGAAAAAGAGCCTTTATCAACTCAAGCAAGTAACCACAGCATATATGGACTATTTTTGGTGCAATGCTTATGCAGCTAAATTGAATTATGCATAATTGAATTTATTATAACGTATGAGTAAACTATTTATGTTTTGACATAATCATCCATCTATATGCAGTCCTTAATGGCAAGCAAAACAGACTGAATTCCGTACTGATATGCTGGGCAAACTATTTTGTAGATTAATAATCCATTCGCAATTAATGTCGTATTGAAAAAAATAAGAACAGTGGATTGTACTTGCAATGTTACAGTGACTACTAATAATAATCCTTGCATTTGATATAGCACTTTTCACGTCTTATCGACGTCTCAAAGCACTTCAATTGTGCACAGAAGTGTCCCACAAACAGTCGTGGATTGAGTGACCAAATTATTATTTTTTTGAGGGATTATTATCCCTGGAAAAGCGATTCGCCAATCGATTAACAATTGAGTTCCTACTTAGTGCTGGGTAAACAGAGGAGTGTGGAGTAAGGAAACTTGTCCAACATTTTGCCTTGCCGGGAACAGAACCCAGGTCTCTCGCTTGAGAGGTGAGTGCTCTAAGCACTGAGCTACAGGACATAGATATAAGAGGACCAAAAAAAATGATGTAAAATGATGCACTACCCTGCTCTCACCCAACAAAAAAAATTGTACATTTCCTTTTACTTCCCAAATCTCAACACCACAATTTCTGGACCGCTTCATCAATTGCGATTGGAAAAGAAAACTAAAAGCTTCAGTTCTATATCTGTTCATAACTAACTGCTCCAAACATAAAATGGTTAGGTTACCAGTTGCCAATGACACAATCAACAGGGTTAACACTTCACTTTGGGTCACTCAGAGTGACCAGAATAAACAAATATCCTAAAAATGGATGCTACGGATAACTGGCCAACCCAACTGAGGGAAAAGTGAGTGCTTTGCTAAAGATGTTTCAAAACGAAAGTGAGATGAAATCATCATCTCTGAAACATCCCCATACACCTCTTCACAGTCTGATTTCAGATCTTGCTGAGTTATCTTAAATATGAAATGTCCATCAGTCATATTTATTTATTGCTGAGTTCTCAGATGCGATGAATCATTTACATTAATAGCCTGTCTTGCAATCTCGCTATCTCTTGCCCGCACAGCTAGCCTTGTCAGTTTGATAAGGATTTTGTTACGCAGAGTGTCAAAATGTTGAGCTCATTACTACCCAAAGTGGTCCACGCAACTGACCTAAGAATATTTTGAAGACTCGCTTGTATTGTCTGTCTCTCTGGACAAACACAGCAGTTACCTGCATTGAATATAAATCAGTTGTCTCCTGCTTTGAAGGGAGAGTGGAACGGGGGGGAAAAAAAGATTAAGTTACAAATTCCAGAATATCTGTCAAAAAGTGATCATTGCGAAGAGGGGAATCTAATTCTAGCCAATAATTACTTTCCTCAAAGTGAGCAAGTATATGCTCCCAACATATCTACCTAATATTCAGATGCGGAGATTAAAAATGCAGGTCCATATATTCTGATAGGAGTGCCAAACTCAGCAGACATAGGCTTTCGGGTTCAGAAAACACTGACTCCCAATTTCATCAGATATTAAATACCAGATTCAAGAGTCACTCAATTCCAGGTTCAGTCAGAAGCAAAGATCCCTCACTCCCTGCTGAGGGCAACTGTACTGCCAAGTGGAGCCATTATAATAATAATAGGTATTATAATTATTCTAATAAATGTTATTAGTACAAAATCAGTTTTTGAATGGAGTGATAAGCTAGTATATGCAATTTAATGTATTAACAATGTAAAGAATATCTTCTGAGCTATTGTAAGCAACATTAATATTGATTTGGAGATATCAGTTACACAGCAGTCTGAGTAAGTATTGGTGAAGTCATTTATTTGGAACATTATTGCAAACTTTATTGTCCTCATACAACTTTTGCCCAGACATTTCATTCATACTGTCTAGAATTGCATTTCATTTCCACAGAAAAAAAATCAGGACATGAATTATGTTTGTTGTGCGTGTAGAAGATAATTGCAGCAGCACAAAGATGAAAGGATTCATGTTTCAGAAGTGCTGTACATCTTCTGAGAGAATACAAATAGGAAAAGACAGGACATCACGAATTGATTACATAAAATTTGAATTATTGTACAGTATTTATAGGCTTTCAAGAAGACGCGAGAGATGACTTTAAAAAGGCAAACAGACATTTTGACTCATTCGTTGGTTATATTCTCAACAGCAGTTACCATTTGTAAATATAGATCAGTTCATGGGTATTAAAAGCTAAATAAACAACTATGTAAAATCAATCATTATATCAGTTTATTGAAACGAATGTGCAGTGTTATGGCTTCTCACATTGTGTAAATGTGCAGCACATCTGATGCATAATATTGTAACTCTGTGATTCAGGAGGGAACAACTTTTTGTGATCAATTAAATTTTGCAATACGAACCCACTTACTGTATCTACAAAATCAAACTGACTTCAAACACTATTTTTAAGGGACTTGCTGCATTTAACAACAAAGGAGTCTCCATTAAATTAGTTTGCCAGAAAATATTTTCCCCAATTTCTACTATATTCTACCCAATAAGATCGCCCTCTACTCAAGAAAACACACTCTACTATAATTGTACAAAGCAATCGAGATTTTAATCAGCCACAATTGCAAAAGAGGTCAAATATTTACCTCCACATTAGGCTGTTCGGTTCAACACTGATATTTTTAGCAGAGGATTTATGGTTACCTAGATGCGGTTCTGTTCCAAGCAAGGTCTAAGCTAGAAGAGAACTTAAAGAGGATAAAACTGAGATGCAGCTTCAGAAGACTGTATTTCCACTTGAGCCATTTTGAACTGAGTGCATTGCAGCCACTTGTGGAGCACTAACGAACTTGGGCTCATCTGCCCAGAGTCCTGGAGTGATCGTAGGATGTGATGATTTACGTTGTGCTGGAGGGATTGAAGGCGCAGTTGAAGACCTGCTGATAGATACTGTGGAGCACAGGATGTGTGGACAATTAATTGTAAATCAGTCAATATAATAGTAAATTGCAATAATACAGGTGGCAACAATATACAAGTTGCTTTTGGAAGTTTTGAGGGAATACAAAAAAGACTTACCTTCAAATTTGACTGAATCATTGGTAACCACATTGGAATAAGCTGTGGAAAGACAAGCAGTACATTACATTTTGCAATCGCTCTCAAGCATTAAGGTAAACCTAGAAAAAATACATTCAGTGATTCACGACTTTAAAAGCTATCAAGGTAATCCAGCTTATTAACATAGACATATCAAAAGACATAGTGTAAGAACGTATTGTAAAACCAACCAATATGTGAAAAGCCATAATCACTGCCGCCAGGTATAACAAAAATATAATTACTTTTACAAAGATGGTTGAATTGCATTCCTGAAGAGCCTCCATTAGGCTGATAACGTGTAGGCAAACCATTTCTACCATCTGCAACACAATAAATGGAAAATTCGGTTGGAGAAAGAGTTCAATAGAAGGTGGAAGATTAGTTGACTCACAGGTAGGTTCTTAAACAATGGACTCTCTCTCTGTATAGCCAGTGCTCCCTGTGCCTCCTCGACCTCTCTCCTGCTTTCAACACTGACACCTGGTGATATTCTCCAAACTCACTTTTCTGCTCACCGCTTCCCCTTATCAAACTTGTTCACTGTGAGTTCCCTGCCATTCTATCAGTGGCTGGGCCTTCAGTCACTATATACAGCCTCACCCTCCGGAAACCTCCTTCATCCCACCATCTCACTTCCTCTTCTCATGTCTTCAACTCTGCCTCCCTCTTATCCCCTCCTCCCTGCTCAGCGTCCGACACCATCTCTGTAAAGCGCTGTGAGATGTTTCTCTACATAAGGATACTATACAACTGCAAGCTATTGATTGCCAACAAATAATTTGACTTTAAATAGCATTGTGGCAATTGCGTGCAAGTTAAAGAACGGGGAAGGTTGAAAACATGGCTCACCACTTTGTTATGGACCATTAGCTGTAAGATACTAGGCGTCACACGACTCCAGAATTCAAGAGCTGTCAGAATGGCCGTGGAGACAAACTCATTCTGGTTCTGGACTGTCGGAGTGGAAGCTAATTGCTCACAATAGATTGTCCAGAGCTGAGCGAAAATGAAGGCATGGAAAAGGGAGCACATGTGCAACACTGATGTCTAAAGACAGGAAATATAGGGAAAAAGACTTGTAGTTTCAGACAAATATCAGCATTATTTTGAACATTACAACACTTGGTACCGAACAAATAATAGTACATTTCTTGCAACTGTGTTTTCAAGTGAAAAGCAACATCCTTGCAGACCACAGAAATCAATAAGATTTTAACACTAAAATGTGTTTTTTCATATTACAGTGAACTCTTGCACAAAAATCAACTCCAACACTGAATAGGATGGACTTAAAACAGTTTATGTTGTAAATGAAGTGGATACTATTTATATTTCGCAATTTAGATACCACGGAATAGTGTACCCTAGATAATGAGGGTTTGAGGTAATGAAATTCCGGCATAACAAATGTGTTGTTGATGGGACAATGCAGAGCTTTTTATTCTGCCATGAACAGTGCAAAGCAGTGTTTCCTCTGTATTTTCTACATTTATTGTATCTGACCTAGGAGGCAGGCATTGCCGGGGCTTATTCTAGATTAACACTTAGAATTTTGTATACAATTAGAATCACCATTTTCTGACTATAAATTCTGAGTAGCAATCATGCATTTTTCCGTTCCGCATACTAATCACATTTTCTGCGTGATTTATAAAAGCGTCAAAGAATCATTTCTAAAATTCCTCACTCAATTAATTACCAGACTCTCTTTTCTATGATTTTCCGAAACATTCACATTACCTTGGATTGCTCAGGAAATCCAATCAAGATAACTACAAGGTGATCTGCAACATGTGAACCAGCGTCCAAAGGAATAGGCATGCATGAAGTGGATCCAGAACACACAACGCTATGGCTAAGAGACCCCAGAAGCAGCCATGACAACAAGCGCACATGGGAAACACACTCGATGAATTCTTTTGGACTATAACATTTAGAAAAAAAAAGAAAACCAGGATTACACGCTTGACACAAAAAAACCGAGACACAATCATTGTTTTATATTAAAAAAAATAATTTCACGGTTTGGTGCTCAGAACATTGCTTGGTGTTTTATATTTTGTCATTTACTTCTCTTAAACACGTTGTTTAATTGTTCGGTTGTAAAAACTACCGTAAAAATATCTTCCCCAACAATTGGCTGCCGAATTTCGTCCACAAGTTACACAGCCAATCCACTTTACAATATATTCTCTGAAACGCTTTGAGACGTCTCAACAACATGATAAGGCGCTGTATCAAATGCAAGGGTTAATATTGTTATGATTACAGTAAGCACAATTGTAACAAATAGAACTACATAATTGTTTATGAAAAATACAAATTTTGATATCTTAGAAACAAAGTGCAAATATTTAGTGTACAAAACACATGGATGGATGTTATAGGTTACCCTTGTTGCATTGCAGAGGGAGGATGGTACAGCCATGGCAAAAAACGAATGACTGCTTTATTATCACGGTGATTTCCTTTGGTGATTTCCATCGCTGCTATCTGTGCTAGTCCAACTTTCAGATGCCCGCCAAATGTATCTTCATGCAGAGGCTGTGAACAAGTCTTCATATGACTCTGGACCGAAAGTTATTGCAATTCATGTTAGATCATAAAAGTCATACAAGTAAGTGCATCAAAAGAAAAACAGAAACTTGCGCTAACGTATATTTGAAACAGAGTGCAGTGTGTAAGTACAGGGGCGGAGAGAGATAGAAACAAAACACATTTGTTATATATATGTGTATATATATACACACACACACACACACACACACAAGATATACCAGCAGTGTTATATTAGTAGAAATTTCCATTGACACTTACAATTCACTATTCCTCTGACCTCAACCCGACAAATTAAGTGTTGTGTGAGGGAGTGTTTGCGTTCTGCGCTCATGCCTGCTATATAGCATCTTCAGACAAGTAATAGGATTGATTTGCTTCCAGCAATACAACAAAGGAAACTTTTCCAGTAAGCTATGGGTTGGCAGGTAATAGAAGTTTCCCTTATGAATACACTCCTTAAGTATTCAGCCAAATAATAATTATTTCCCCAATTCCAATGTCAGCTTGGCGTATATTGATGGGTCCTGTGTTACTAGATTTAAACCCACACCTTACATTCTAATTGATTTTCATCAACATATTACAAACAAAAGGTTGTAAATTGTTCAGTCGAGTTGAGAAATACCACTTAAAACTGAAGTCTCATAAGTGAATCAGACAAAATTCACCGCTTTAACCTTCCAGTTCTGATTCCTGCATGCATGATGAATCAGGAGAAGCCTTTATGGTAATTTATGGTAATGTTTAGTATTCATTTTCCTAGATCTCTGCGATATTCGAACAATGATTATTGAAATGTAAAAAAAAAAATCTGCGTTGTGATACTACAGTATTCGAAAATGGATGTGGAATTTAAAAAAAAACAGTTCTGAATCTCAAACTGAAGAAAAAAACAATCCAAGTTAAAATCTGGAGCAAATTGCTCTTGCTTATTCACAGGCAGGAGAAATGCACAATTAGAATTGGGGGAAAAAAATCACTGCACTGTTGAATGTTATTACATTAACACACAATAATGTGGAAATTGGGGTTACTCATTATATGCCCTCTTCCCCCCACCCCTCACTTCCAGTGGGAGTAGATTCAATTTTACTGTATGAACGTAAACTGTAATTCTATTTATTTCTCAAACGCCTAAGGGACTTGGTACTAAATGTAATCTGTGGAACGTACATACCTTTAATTTTGTTAGAGTATGCATATCAGCTATAAAGTCCAGCACTTCACCTATATACTGCCTCATGCACTCCATTGCTGCAGTTATGTACTGTAAGATTTGGTAGAGGTATTGATTAATAATGACCACATACATGGAGTTGTTGGCAATTTTCCATACATAATTTCTTTTGTTGCCTTCAGTGGTTATTCCCAATTAAACACACAGGTTTGCAAAGTACCCATCACCAAAATCAGAAATTATACGCTGATGATAACGGCATTCTTTTTTAATGGGCAATATTTTCCTTCAGGGAGAAACAATTTCCTCAAAATGAGGACTCCTAGCAATTGCAAAGATATTACACCTTGATTTAAAATAATAAAGAGAAATTTGATATCAAACAAATGATTCCAATCAAACTTTTAACACAATTAAACTCAACTGATAGCAATTGAGGAATATTTTAAAATTAAGGAAAAAAATTTCAGGCTGTACTCACTCCAGGGACAGAAGCAATCATGTGTTTCTGCAGAATTGTCGATTCAGCTATTTTTGTTCCTGCATCTGCACAAACAAACTGATAAAGAGGAAATATCCATTACTTTTAACATCTGCCCTGAAGCCATTTATTAGCATATCCCCATTATTCTGAAAACGCAATCTTCCCCGACTACCAATGTATCACTGAAGGCACATTGCTATCTGCTTCTCGTTAGAACAAAGCTAAATCACTGCTTAACTCTTTCTGCATAGGTTCCTGCATTTTTTTAAAAAAACAAAAAAGATCCACTAACTGGTCATTAAACGCTGTGCTATCACATCGATAGGTAAAACTCCAAATGAAATGTTGGAACAAACTGCATCAAGTAGGCGCCCTCTGGAAGAGCTTTCTTTCTGCAGCTGCGGCAAATCTCTTCTTCAAATTATTGACACAACACACACTCTGCATTAATTACGGCCTTGCACTTAATGCATTCTTAATGCCGTAATTAAGCCTTGGCTCTTGCCAACCTGCACCGAATACTTTCCAGAATTAGGTAAGGAGGGTGGATCTCTCTGGGGTGGGGCGGGTGAGGAGTGTGTATTCCATTCCAGACACAAGGAAATGTTTATGTGTTTAAAGGTTTCTCTAACGTATGTGACTGAGCAGCACATCTGAACAAAATTCAAGACTTTACCTGTACTAGAAGCAGCATGTTTGTATCTGGTAATGGTGTCTTTAACTTTAATGCTTGCAACAGTTCCAATACCACACTTCGTGACAGGTAGAACTTATCCCGTTCCTTGGAATACATAAGGGTAAAACAGTTAACTAACAGAAGTGCAAGTAGATGTCAAATCTCAATTTGCAAAAATTCAGGTAAAACCTTTACTATTTGCTTCATCATCTAAAAATCAAATCAATTTTATAAACCCCCTCCCCTCTTGATAGTTTCATCCTTTTTATAAAATCTGGCAAGTAAACATTACGTAAACAACATTTCTCTACATCACCCATACATCTCACCATCTGCCTCCTATTCGTCCCCAGAAATGATATGCAATCAATAGTACGGACTCCGTTAAGTACACTGGCATGATTCACACCTTGTCAAAATGCATTAAGTGCAAGGCTGTAATTAATGCTTTCGACTGATTAATTTTTATTGACACCTTCCTAAATTAATAAATCCATATGATTGCTAGGTTCCTAAATGAAGTGCACGGCTCATGATTACCTTATTGAACGCCCGGTAGCACAGACCACACAATTCAACCAGGTACACGAGGCTGAATACTCCATTCTGAATCACAAAACTCAACAATTTGGAAAACGGTTCCAAAAGGCTCTGTGATACAAGGTGAATGAAAAATTTAAAGAATTAATTGATGAGCAAATCAGAAATAGCGCACACAAGATTGGAAGCAGCCTCAATTGTTCTCGTTTACAATAAACTTTAACAAAAGTTTAAACTGATTGCCAACTCTAGTTTTGTTATATATAAAAATAATTATAATAATCCTTGTAATTGATATAGCGCCTTATCACGTCTTTGAGGCATCTCAAACCGCTTCACACAATATACGGTCAAGTGAATTGATTGTATATTTTGCAGTTGAATACTAGTAAAGTGGCTTGTGATAGATGCCAAAGATTCTAGTTCATTCTTTCCCAGGGAAAGGAATAAATTATTTAAAGGAAATTAACATTTTGCTTCCAGTCCTGAGGGGGAAAACTTGTGCTTGGAGAGGTCGTCGCTTGGGCACACTGCTGGCAGCTTACCCGTGTTGCATTGATGGTGGGGATCTTAAGCAGACAAATCATGATCCTCAAACTTGAATCCAGGCAGCACTGAATGAACGAGTAAAGGATTTGATCATTATGGATTTTGAGATTTATCTTCATAAGTGTAATTTACTTCCCCCCCTCCCACCCCAAATGTTTCAACAACAACAACTTGGATGTATGTAGCGCCCTCCACGCCGGACGGCATTTCAACACCTTAAAGAGGAACACGTGATTAACGATTTGTGAAAAAGTTCCATTTTCACAAACATTCTGTTTCTGTGCGTCTATCAACCTTTCCTGAAAACAATTAAGGATAAACAAACTCCAGATTTACCCTGAGCTTTGAAAGCACATGGAACATAAATAAACTTGCATTGTTATGGGAAGTGAATGAGATAATCTACCTCTAACATGTTTTCTCCCCTCACTCCAGAGCTTTTTCAGATCATACAGTAACTCCTAGCTGAACAGGTGCTCCAATCCAAAGTACTCAAATATATAATAATTAGTATTATTGTTACTCAAATATATCCCAGTTACACTGTGTGTATTTTACTGTTCTTATTTTTTTTATTTTAATGAGAATTCCTCTTCAAAATGAAATCCCTGTGCCATCCAGAACCTCTGGCCAGAAAAATACTCCCAGTTCTCTACCTAAGCAATGCCTGACCCGACCATTAAAAGTACTTAAAAGTAGCCAGCGTGACTTATCCTCTCCATCTGTAGATTGCTAGAGATCGGAAACTCAGTCTTTAACAAATCATTACTAAAAAGGTTACCTCACTAATTTATTGCCCATTAATTCGAAGGTTTTTTGTTCTCCTTACCTTCAGTGGTAATATGCAGGGTAACTTGGTCAGGAATGTTTGAAGCTGATTGCATATGGTTGTCCACAAGGTACTGGGTGAGTCCATAGGCAAAGCTTCCATGTAGGTGGCTATGTTGTCTAAACATCGAAGCATGGCTCCTCCTGCTGGCAAGTTCTTCTTATTGTTTAAACCCTATTTAGAAATGTTGTAAAATGTTATTACATAAACTATTCTACAATACCACCAAAGAGACAATTTAATCCTTTTTTTAAACACTTGAATTTCAACAGCGCCCATACTTGTTATTCTTCCTGCCTGCGTCTTCACATCGCAGGAAGTTACAATGCAAATTTATTACCCGAACGGAGATAAAACATGCTAAGCTATTCGTAAATTCTGCAATACCTCCAGCAGTTGATTCAGCACTGCCACTGAGCTCAGCTCGTTGAAGTCCATCAAAGAGGAGGCTAAAGTTCGAAGGAAGCTTCCATCTAGACAAGCAAAGCAAAACATTCTTTTTTATATATAAAAAGGACTCATCTCTATCCAGTCTTAAAACGTTACGCATTTAAAATGTATTTGATTAATTTTGGAAAGTACCTTACCTTTGATATTGCTCTGGAATAGCTGTGGAAATATACCATTTGGAGCCAGCTGATGGAAAGTGCAACGTAGAAATTGCTTTGCGACTCCAGCAGCATTGCCAGGAATCAGCATGCTTAAAGATAATGAATAGAAAGATAGAGAAATCTTTCAGTCTGCCTGAAACCTGAGTGAACACAGCTAGGAAATCAATCTAAAAAAACAGCCAAACGAATGGTAACAGTCGAATCTAATACGTGGAAATTTCTAACGGGATTCCTTAAAAAGGAAACCAATAAGTGCATTTTGCCAAATCGCTGGTACTCTCATTCATCCCAATCTACTTTCGGAGCAGAGATCCTACAGAGCGACATGGTATAAACAATAATCCTTGGATTTGGTGTAGCGCCTCGTCACATCGTTGAGACATTTCAAAGCACTTATACTGTAAAATGGATTGACTGTGTATTTTGTGGGCAAAACACGGCAGTCAGTTGCGTTCAGCAACATTCAGCAACAAGGAGTGACATACTTGAGTTTGCTAGAGAGAGCATCCACTCGTTTTACCAGTTAAATGTCAGTGGATATTAAACCCTGGTATCAAAGTAAGGAGAATACTGAAAGCACAACTGAAACATTTTCACACGAAAAAGTAAAGGCAAATACATACCTCTCTGCCTGACCAGAAAATATAGTGCTTGATGCCAATCTGAAAGAAATATCACCAAAATAAGATGTTCAAGGTTACTTAACTGCTCCATAAAATATAAATTCATGCAAATACTTTACACCTCAAATTATGTATTCGGGCAATAATATTTTCCTAAAAGTTCATTTTCAGCTACAAAAGTGCATTGCTCAGTCCATACACTTCAAACAGTAAGAATTCTTACCGTCCAACTGACTGTAAAATATCAAGCAGTAAAGGGGCAGCTAAGTCAGGGCTCAAGTGAGTAAATGTGGAAAGAACAACAATAGCCAATCCTAACGTTTCCTCATCGTATTCTTCAAGAACAGCCCCACAGTCATGACATCTATGAAAGAGAATCAAACAGAATTAAAATGGTTCAACTTCAGTTCAGAGTTCGTCAAAGTTGTAACGAAAGAGAGACATTAAACAAGGCGAAGGGAATGTGAGATGGAGTTCCAGAGGGTTGGGACAGAGAGGCTGAAGGCCCGGCCGCTGATGGTGGGGCAGGCTGGATGGGGCACATGGAGCAGGCCGGAGCCTGCTGAGCGGAGAGGTTGATAAAGGGTTAGCAGGTCGGAGAGGTAAGGGAGCAAGGACGTGGAGGGCCTTGAGGGTGAGGACGAGGAATTTGAACTTGATCCTCTGAGGGATGGAGCCAGTGGAGCCGGGCGAGGGTGTGTGTATTGGGGTCACAGAGCCTGGTGTCAGGAGGGGACATGAGCTGCAGAGTTCTCGATAATCTGCAACTTGTGGAGGGAAGAGTTGGGAAGGCCAACAAGGAGGGAGTTGGCATAGTCGAGCCTAGATGTAATGATGTCTACATAGTAGAACAAGTGCATACCTGAAAACCTCAATACAACCAACCAAGGTGTCAAAAGTACTGTATTTGTTTGCAAATAGAATCGTTTTTACCACAATGGATATCCGTGTCAATAACTATGTCTTCTGGAATTAAAATCAGAGTAAGAAAATGTTTGAATTCTAATTTATTAATTTAGAATAAAATAGACACAACAACAATAAAATGACATTTATAGAGCGCCTTTCACGTCAGGAGGACGTCCCAAAGTGCTGAACAGTCAGGTGTCGGGGCCCGAGTGTGGTGGAGGGGGGGGTGGTGTAGGGGTGAGGGAAGGCAGAGAGGTGGGAGGGAGACCAAAGGCACCGTCGAAGAGAAAGGTCTTGAGACCGACCTTGAAGGAGTCAACCCATTATGCGAAGGGACCGTGGGATGGAGTTCCAGAGTATGGGGGCAGAAAGCCCGGCCACCAATGGTAGGGCGGGTCGGGCGGGAGACATGGAGCAGCCGGAGCCCGATGAACGGAGGGAGCGGGCAGGTTGGGAGGGAGTCAGCAGGTCAGAGAGGTAGGAGGGGACAAGGCCATGGATGGCCTTGAAAGTGAGGATGAGGATCTTGAATTCAATCCTCTGAGGGATGGGGAGTCAGTGGAGTCGGGCGCAGGTGGGAGTGATGGGGTCACAGAGCCTGGTGCGCGAGAGTACATGAGCTGCAGAGTTTTAGATGATCTGCAGCTTGTGAAGGGAAGAGTTGGGAAGGCCGATGAGGAGGGAGTTCCCATAATCAAGTCTTGATGTGACAAATGCGTGTGTGAGGGTTTCAGCAGCCTGAGGGCTGAGGCACTGGCGGAGTCTGGCAATGTTGCGGAGGTGGTGGTAGGCAGTGCTTGCTGGTCATGGCGTTGATGTGGGTGAGAAAGAACAGATCAGGATCAAACAAGATACTCAGGTTCCTGACTGGCTTAGTGAGGTTGAGTGTGCAGCCGTGGAGGCTGATGCTGCCAGCGCCTGAGGTGCGGAGGCATTGGCACGAGCCAATCAGGAGGGCCTCGGTCTTGCTGGCGTTGAGTTGGAGAAAGTTGGCTCTCGTCCAGGACTTGAAGCAACCCAGATAAAATGTAGTTGACAAAATGTTTAACAGAGGCATAGGCTTACTCACCTGTCTGATATTAGAGTTGGCTGATCATCCGAAAATTCTTCTGGTGCAGGGACAAACATGCTGACAATGCTCTGTGCTGATAATAAACTAGATTTTGTAGCACCTACGAAAATAAAAATGGAATAATGAGACAGTTATAAATAATGTTACAATGGCTTTTCAAACTAAACTACTGAAAAGGCTTAAATCTCCATCAAAGTATTTGCTTAACTCAATAGTTTTAGGGTCTGGAATATTTCAAGCAATAACTTAATAATAAAGGATGATTGTTGAAACTAAAGTCAAACAAATTCAGCTGCTTAAGACAACATTGAGTGCCTCAACCATTTACACAAGTATCTACTTACTGGGATATTTTCATTTTCAACTGACATGTAGGAGCAGATTAGTGGTTGATTGTGGGTGTAAAGTCTATGTTAGTTGCCATAACACTGACAAAGCACAGAATTAATTTACACATTAATTAGTCATGTCCATTAGGCACAATGGTTTTTATTGGGGTTTAAGGTATCTGCCATTTGTCTGCTCATCCTAATTAACATTTCCATTGTCCTAAACATTACAGCTATGCATTGCAACATCAGCATAACAGAAGGATTAACACTAGCCCACCATCTTCCATTTGCACTGTGTAATTAAAACTATTTTGCAGCTACTATCAGACCTAAGCACCATGATGTACACTTACAGTCCATGTACTTAGTATCCTGTGTGAACCAAAGTTAATATATGTTTCATATATATAGCCTGACACGCCCTTCACTTGTGGGGATAAAGCAATGCCTTCTCATCTTGAGGCATATTACAATATTATTTCGGCACCAAGCAAAATAAAATGTCTGATTTGGTGAAACAGGCAATGTTTTTCAGGCAGTGATCAAAAGGCTATGTTCTACATAGTTAAAAATACAGTGAATGCAAAACGACTCAATTTAAAGCAATTCCTCTCGTCTAAGTGCTGTTTGTTGCCTCTTGTAGCATCTCCATACATGTCACCTTGGATGAAGAGGAATTCCAGTCCCCTTCAAAAGGGGTGCATTCTTTTGGTCTCGTCTTGAGAATGAAAATGCACAAAAGGAAATTAGGATTCAACGTCCAAATTAATAAGTCAAATTAATCAATGAAACCTACTCCTAGGATGCCAACTATTTTAACAATAAAAAAAACCTCATACTTTTTGATGGATTTTGTTGAAATTCTTACCAAGATGAGGGCAGTATAATTACATTCTATTAGATAAAAAGGTTCTTATGTAACACTCAGTTTGCAGTGTGCTCCAAGGTCTTAACACATTGTGGGGTGGAAATAACATCGTAAATTCTGAACATGAAGCTTGAGGAGATTATTAGCTTTCCCTCAGAGATTTATTATGGCCTCGGAAGTATTGAAACAGATTGATTTTTTACGGTTTCCCAGAAATTATTTCTGGAAGCATAAACATTTCAATGTAAAATAGGAAAAACAAAGGACAGAACAGTCAAGTAACTGTTTATGAAAAAGGCTAATGTAAAGCTTTGTGAAAGAAAGTGGTGCAGCAACACTGGAATCAGTTTCAATTCCTACAATGTTAGGTTTTGTTTATCAACTTAATACAGTCACTATGAATCCAATGTTATGCAACTTAACTGCATGGTGATTGATAAAATCAAACCTCTCAATATCAACCTACTTTAATACAAATCTGCCATTCTAACAAATGTTTCCCTTGTTTCTATATGATTCTCTATTGTACTCTGCAAGGGAGCTCAAACAGTGATGAAATTAATTCTGGTCAAATTTAAACGCGATTACCTCAGGAGTTTATAATAATAATAAAATAACCCTTGCATTTGATACAGCGCCTTATCACGTCTTCGAGACGTCTCAAAGCGCTTCAAAGAATATACTGCAAAGTGAATTGACTGTGTATTTTGTGTAACAGAGCTGGATTGTATGTATATTGTAATTGAGAACATACTAACCAGTGTCCCAGTTACTGATGTTGTGAGGTACACTGGACTGATGTTCCAGTTGTCTCTTCATTAACTGGCTCAGTGTCAGGGCTCCCAGGGATCCCCTTTTCATTTGCCTATATTGAGCTAAACATGGCATAAAAACAAATAACAGGTGGAAATGATGTCAGTCTCTCAGTGTTAAAGCAAATGTTTTGCAATATTTGAGACTTCAATCTTTTACCTACACTGCTCTGTAACCAGTCTACAGCGAGGCCCGCAGATTTCAACATCTCATGAAATGTAATGGATGATAATATAAATTTGGTGATATTGAACATATGTAATGTGTATGTCGAGGATTTTCCTACGCCATGGATTCAGGTGAAGCTAAGTGCTAGAACTATCAAATCTTAAAACATGCACATCTTCAAGCTCATTATTGCCCTTAAATTACGTTTTAAATTTATGCTCGTACACTCAATATGCAACAGTTCCAGAAACATACCAATCAGGATAACTGACGGTACAATAAGTCTGGTGTTAAGATACATTAACTCAGCACAGAAACTGAGAAACAATGCAATAATACGATGGAAAGATATGCACAAGCTCTCACGTGGTTACCAGCCAGTTAATTTCAATCAGTTAAGTCTTTGGATAAACAACTTCCCACTATATAGTGAAAACGTTGGCTTGGCTTGTGGGAGGGAAAGGGGAAAGCTCAGCAACTCAGAGTGTTGAATGTTTGTGAAGCTGAAACCCAATTTCAACGGTGCTGTCCAGTTTTGACTAAAACCACCAGGGATCCCATTTATTGATGCCGCCAGAGATGCATACCTAACACACACGCTATGACTGCTGAGAACAACACTAATATAGTTCCTACCCACCAGCAGATCAGCAGAGAATACAATTTCATATCGACTAGACCGTCCAGGTGAGACAAACAGCAATGGATCCACAGCGCTAGACAGCTAGGAATTGGCTAGTTCCCTCCCACCCACCACCCCCTCCACACTGCAAAGACTGTCAAGTATTAAAACAAAGGGATATGCTGGTAAATATGTTGATGCGAAGAAAATAACTCAATTCATTCAACACCTCCCACCTTCACCCCCCTGAAAATTAAACTCCTATTAATTTATAAAGTGTATCTTTGTTGCTGTATCTCAAATTAAGAGATATCTTAGAGCATTCGAGGGGGGGGAGGGCACTGATCCAATAACTTTAAATTAGATTTTCTTCCCTTTGCGTATTGTGCAATATAAATGGTATGACAGAATATAGATAATGGCATTGCACAGGACATGCACAGATGGAATTTTTCCATTAAAAAGTGGAAAAGAATGCTTAATCTCAAAGTGTTTCAAATTGCATCAGATTTGGGCATTCGCAGGAAACACATCAAATGACCCCAACCCAGTTTCTCAAGTCTATTTTGGCACTAATCCCATGCGTGCCAGCCAGGGCATAACCAGGGAAACAAAAACAAAAATGTTGACCCAAGGCTTTGGTCATGCTCCACGTGATGACCAGAAACAAGGATATTATTTATCATGGCCTTGCTACTGGTATTTGTGTGTGCAGCGAGCTGCGGTTTAAACAAAACTATTAAACTGCGGAACTGATTAGACAAGCATTGTATATACAGCATTTTAATTAGTTTACTTGAGATGGAAGAGTGGCTACTTGTCTCTGGCAGAGCTGCTTCTAGTGTTGGAGCAGAGGCAGATTCACTTGGATTATCCAGAGCAGGAAGGCCTTTAACAGACTGATCTGCAAAACAATTTTGTACCACGAACATAACTGTGTTTTTTTTAAAAAGTGTTCACAACTATTCACCATGATAAACTGAGCTAAACTTTTGCAATAAATTCTGGTTATTGTCTAGTTATGAGATTGAATTACAGGTTCTGCTGTTAATTACAAGAGAGAGAAAAAAATAACCTACTGTACAACAAAACTAAGACAGTGCACACTTCCTCAGTAGAGAAATTAGATCTTTACAATGTCTATACTTATCCAGGAAATAAATTTATCCTGTAGTACAAAAGTACTATTTATTATATATATTTATATAAAATCAGCCTTATATTTACAATAAAATGATTTAGTACAGATTAAAGTATTTAACCTTATTGGCTCGTGAATAAAGATACAATAAAGTGATGCATTGTGATGAAATATTAATCAATTAGCAGTTGCAGCACTGAGAATGGTGCAATTAATCTGCTGTTTATATAACGTAGTGTGTGCCTGGACTGCAAAACTAAAAGCATCAATTTTCTTCAGACTTGACAACACTAAAGTGTTGTTTTCCCGCCACCCCCACCCCCAGCTCGGGTCCTAATCTCTATCTGTTCAGCGCCTTGGGACGTCCTCCTGACATGAAAGTCACTTTACAAATGTAATTTTGTATTGTATTGTAAAGTGGGATTCAAAATAGACATTTTCAGTGGAGAAGTAGGCCATTTGTTCCACGATGCCTATGCCAGTATGTGCTGCTGATGAACTCCTGCTGCACGGTAAAAGTGTTATTTTATCACTAAATGCTCTGGGATATGATATCATCACAACCATAAAAGGTAAATGTACCTGTAGATATGCTTTTTTTTAATAAAAAAATTAGCAATCTAAATTGTCATTTATTTTTAATGCAAGGAGAGGAACTTGGTAAGACATAGTACTCTTTCTTGTTTGGGTACTCTGTATTGTAATAATGACATGGAACCTGTGTTACTTGAAACATGCCTCAATATCTATCTCGCCCGAGTTTAGAAATTATATATTTTTCAGGTGCCCATACCCCCCGCATCACTGCAGAAATTGCAGAAATTGGGACAGACATTCAGTTTTCCTGTTGGGGTAATTTTTCTGCTTACTTACCGGTCAGTGAAGCGTATAATGTCCCTGCACATTTATACAGATTTTCTATATAAATTCTGTTAAACATATTCCACAACTTCTGAGTTGTTTTCTTGTCACATACAAATGGTTCTGAAATGCAGGGTACACAACCGAAACTTCATGGTCAAAACGCAAAGTACTGCAGATGCTGGAAATCTGCGGTGCTCTCTGATCTGCCTGTTTTGTTGCAATTCCCCCCCTATGCTTTGCATCATTAACGCCTCTTTAACCCGTCATCCCCTGCCCTCTACCCCATTTTCTCCTTTGTCTTCCTTGCCCTGCCTCCCCCCTCTCTGTTAGGCCTTAAAAGCCTCTCCCTCCCAACGTGCCCCAGTTCTGACGAAGGGTCGTGGACCTGAAACATTGACTCACTTTCCTTTCTCCATAGATGCTGCCTGACCTGCTGAGTGTTCCCGGCCACTTCTGTTTTAGTTTCAGAAACTTCATGATTGTAACTATAGCGATCTAATCTATTGAACCAGTCTACAATCTGTTTTATAATTTACTTCCACAGAAGTGAATGGCAGTGCTTAATTTAAAGCTACATTAGATACAAAGCCACATTAGTGATTGATCCAGTGGCATCGTACCAACGTATCCACATCACTCTTATATCTTTTAGCTTCACTGGCTGCAAAGCCGGACTGTAAAGTCAAATTTCACATAGTGTGAATATGGAATATTATAATAATAATAATCCTTGCATTCGATATAGGGCCTTATTGTGGAGCCCTGTAGCTCAGTGGTTAGAGCACTTGCCTCACAAGCGAGAGACCTGAGTTCGATTCCCGGCAGAGTGAAATGTTGAGCAAGTTTCCTTACTTCACACGGTTTTGTTTAACTAGGAACAAGTAGGAATCCGGTTAAGTCGACTGGCAGATCGTTTCTCCAGGGGTAATAATTCCTTCAAATAAGAAGTAATAATAAATTGGTCACTTCAATCCACGACTGGTTGTGGGACACTGCTGTGCGCAATTGACTGCTGCGTTTCGCCCACAAAATATACAGTCAATTCACTTTACAGTATACCCTGTGAAGTGCTTTGAGACGTCTCGAAGACGTGATAAGGTGCCATATCAAATGCAAGGATTATTATTATTATTATCACGTCTTCAACTCGTCTCAAAGCGCTTCACATAATATACTGCAAAGTGAATTGACTGTATATTTTGTGGGTGAAACAAAATGAAGACTAAAAATTAAGACAGAACAGGGAATAGTGTAGAAGCAAAAATAGAAGAAAAGAAGTATTAGAGTACGGAGAGGTGAGGTTTTAAAATGCTCAATATTAGGAAGTGTTCACAATTATTTAGTGGTTTACATCTAAATTACAGTAATAAACATATCTTCGTGTTTTCAGTGCATGAGCTGAAAGTGTAAGGTGTCTCTGTTGACCTGACTTTCTAAAGGTTAATATCAGCATCTGTTGGTGTGTGCCAATTGCAATATCATAATGGAAAATGCTAATACTACTTGTTTGTTAGGGAAATAAATTGTACTAAAAATGGAAAAGTGCAAGACTGGTACACTATCCTTGAACACAAAAGGCACTGAAAGTTTTTAAAACAATTATGCACTGGGTATTTTGTTTAGAATGAGTCACTTACGTGAAATAAAAACAATGGTTAGTTCAAATCTGTGCACAATTTAAAGACAGACTATACTGCTCTCTTCCCATGCTTTGCTTTTACGCTATTTTTAAAAAAATGCTTTAACCAGAAATTTCTATCAGAATGCTCTTGAAAGATATTTTGTTGTATTATAAGATCCATCACTATTTTGAGTGATAAAATTCATCTCAGGTCCTTACCAGTCTCTCTTTGATCCCCAAGTTTGTCTAAAATGTTGAAGGAAATGTCAAGGTATTCCCTTTGGATAGCACTGACAGCGATTTTCCTATGCTTCTTCTGCCTGGGAACAATCTGAATTCTGAACTCTGATTCTTCACCACTTTCCTGCTTTTGTTCGTTTTGTTCACTGTTTTTTTGGATAACCAGTTCAGTGTTTGATTTGTCACTCTCTGCCCCATTTTGAGATTCTGTCGGAAGTTTGAGAAACACAGTTTTAACGGTGGGACTGCGTAATGGGCTGCCAGGTTTAATCTCTCCTTCCTGCACCCCACAAGAATCGTCGAGTGATATTTCGGGCAGTGCAGATGTTTTTCGGAGGTTTTCTCTCTTCTGCTTAAGAGTTAGTGGGCTTTCGCAACCAGTAAATTTGGCGTCTGCTGAGTGTGGTGCAACTTCAAAGGTTTTGTGAGGACTAAGAGCTATTGATAAAACATTTTCAGTCGCCAACAAAGTCTTAGCCCCAAAATCCAGGAATTGCGAGCCTTTTGAGCAATCTTCCACACTGACTCTTACAACTGGGGTGACATTCAAACTCAGTGATGTGGCGACGCACGATGCAGTATGAGTTTTGCCGTTTGGTTTATCTTTAGGGCTGTTCTGTGTTTCATACTCCTCATCGCTCTCCACAATCCTAAGAGGAGGGAGAGGCTCAAAAATCAATGAATCACTATCAGAACTCGAGAGAATCGATTGCTTCTCAGGGGCAGATGATGAGTCGGAAGATAAATCAATCAGATCAATTTCATCTCTGCGGCAAGGTTTGTCAGGAGATTCAACTTTGACCTCAAATGTTTCTGTGCAATTCAGCCTAACCTCCGGTATCACTCGACGCTTCCCGTCTTGAGAATTTGCTGCAGGTGAAGGTTTTTCCTGAATCACTCCAATTTCTACTGATAGTTCCTGGCCTGACCTTCCATAGGTGTTTTCGTTCGGAGTACAACAGGGGGCAAAACCAGATTGGTTTTCTGCTTCACATCGATCTATACAGGACCTTCTTCGATGCTCATCTAAAGAATACAGCACTGAATCTGCATTTCCTATATCTAGTGACTGCTGCTTAATTGAGTGCAATTTCTTCTTTTGAACCACCCTTTCTTGCTGTTGTGGAGACATGCCACAGCGTATTATATTATCTGGCAAAAGGCTGGATTCCCGGTACTCCGACAACTCGATCTCCGAGCCTAAGGAAAGGGGAAAAAAAAATTAAGATTATAAAATAAATAATTTAAAGCTACAACTTCAATAAAAGTTCAACTTGATCACAAGTTAAAATTGCTCACTCTGTGAATGAGAAATTACATGACTCTGTATTTAAGCAGTTACTTTCATAAATATACATGCTTCGATAATTCTTGCGAAGTAAAATTAAAAAGTAATTCATATTCCAAGAAAATTAATCATGATCTTATATAGCCTACTTCAAATGTCTAACCAGCCTTTTTCAGGGTGAAAAAATAATTGGGAATTTAATGCATAGATAACAGCACACTGATTATGCACATTCAAAGCCACAGAGATAAACTACTGAGTTTAGACTGTTCATCTTCACACGGAAGACCAAATTACTATTGACAACAACAAAAAAGAAAGCTTACTCTTCTGTGCATTCATTTCCACTGGCTGGTATTTTACTGATTTACTGCCCCCTATCCTTTTCAGTCTTGCAAAGAAGGTCTGTGACTCCTTGTTGCAGGCTCCAGTTGGCGTATCGTGTACATCTGACTCATCAAAAACACTATCTTCTTCTGGCCGTTGGGGAAAAATGCAGCGTTAAATTACTCAGCAGCCAAATATAAAGGTTAAAGTTAAAGTTTATTATTTATTTCCAGATTGCCATTTTTTTTTGACTAACGTTAATTTTAGGTTCTGTTTATTCTGGTAGACATTAAGAGATCTACTCGCACCCCCCACCTCCACCTTCTACACGGAAACATGCCTTTCTCCCAGTTATCATGCATTATGTTCCCCTCTCATTCAAATTCACCCCCAAACTGAAATGAATTGGCTGCTCGTCTCATTGTTTATGGGACTTTATTTCGAATCAATTATTTCAAAAGCACTTTGAGACGTTTATTTTACGTGAGAGGTGCTGCATAAATGCAAGCTATTATACAAAGACACTTCATATTACTCCACTATTTCTATCCCTAAAAAGGCTCGCCTATATACTTTGCTTTGTCACAAATAATAATGTGATAAAAACTTGCATTTGATATAGCGCCTTATCAAGTCGTTGAAACGTCTCAAAGCGCTTCACAGGATATACTGTAAAGTGGATTGACCGTGTATTGTGGGTGAAACGAGGCAGCCAATTGCGCACAGCAGTGTCCCAAATGCAAACAAACTGAGATACAGTTGATATTTACAGTCTCTGTATACCTCACCTTTTTCTTTCTCACTGTATTTGCTGATATTACTGTTATCGCTGTAAAGAGGGCCAGCAGAAGGATGGGATTTACAGCTGTGGTACTGTGCGTTGAGAGTGTTGATTGTGATGTAGATTAGATGCAGCACAATCTTGCTGATATCTGACTCCCTGTAGGGATACTGGGAGGAAAATGAGAGCAGTCAGTACATGATTACTTATCAGTTATTAACTCCCCAGCAACTTTTTTTTCTGGAGTGCAGAAGCTACTCTTCCCCTGGAATCACTCTGTTTTCTTTCAAAGAAGATACGAGTGATCTCAGAGTGATGGACTGCTTCTTCCCTATGCTACATCAACATGTGATCGTAATGATCTACTGCTGACTGTTAATAAATGATCATTCTCTTGCTGATTTAATTTAATTCAACACAGAACAGCAAACGCTATACAGTTGTATATGATTTTACTTGTATATGATGGAAAGTTTGAATTTTTACATACATTCATAATGTTTTGCCTTTTTTCTGTTATGAAACGTCCAAAGATGCAAACCCCGTGCATTATTTTATTCACTTCATCGTCCACTAAATCGTGCTTTAATGATACAGTAAGGGGTATACAGCTTCAGGTAGAAGATTAGAAATGAATAGCCGTACCTTGTAGAGAATCACCAGCAAAGCCTTCAGCCACATTTGTCGTATGTGAGGGTTTAGTGCCCACAGAGAACAGCGTGGTGGCTGCTGAAAGTAATGACGAAGCTGTGGACATGTGCTGTATTTAAGCACCTGCACCACGAGAGGAAGGAGTTGCTTGCCCAGACTAATGTTATAATCCATAACCTGCATAGAATATAGGTACACAACTTTCAGTAAAGTGTTAAGGTTTTTTTTTAAAAAATAAGGTTGGTCAGTTTAGAATTTATTATATAAAAAGGAAACAGAATTGATGTCTGAAAATATCCAAATTACTTTATTATTTTGATACAATATTGAAATAATAGCTTTTAGAATTATGTCAACAAACTGTCCTAATTCTAGTGCGCTGTGAGAGAAGATCTAATTACAGTGTAAACTCCATGACTCAATATCCCAGCATATGCAGCAGGACCTCTGACTATTCTGAAAAGAACAGGGCCATATTCATTCAATAACTTCTCGTTGTTACTCCAGCCTTTGGCTGACAGATGAGAGCGAGACCCTCAGTAATGGGTCTTACAAACTACAATTAATTTAAATTCTTACAAAATAGACTGGTTAAAAATATCTCTATTTTTACCAAAGCAACATGCCGCCGATCAGTTTAGTTTCAGTACGTATTAAAAATTACAGACAATGTTGAGTATCTATTGCTGTCAGATGAAAATTATTTGCTAAATGCCCGATCATTTATCTTAACAATATGAATTTACCCCGCACACTATGAGACGATAAATAATTGCTGAACACAACTATTGTATTTAATATAAAGGTGTGTTAATAATGTCAAGGATTTTTTTTAAAAAAAGCAATTTTTCCCTCTACAATACATTTTTCAGGCAGAAATTGATGAAGTAATTATTTTGTTTTAAAAATAAAAGTCGTTGTTGGGGAGAATGTTGATGTCTTTAATAGCAAATGAGCTGTCAACGGTAAAGTTGTTGGGAATTAACTTTTTGGGTCGACAAATGATATTTCAAAGTTACGTTACTCTATTGAAGAGTGCCATCTGGTGGTCCGTTGTGCTCAATAGCCCAGGCATTGCTTTATTTTACATACAGAGCAACGTAAAGGCCCCTGAATACATTGACATATCCGGGGATCTGTAAGTACAGTACTTAGGCACTTGCGACATCGAAGGAAAGCGATGAGCCTGTTTTATGCAACTATCCGAGATCTACCCATAATTTAGAAATGTTCTTGTGTTGTGTAGATATGACAACAACCGTGCTGGTTAACTCACTTATTGTACAAGAATTCTGTTCTGAGCACTCCTGAATGTATGAAGAGTTGTGCATTTGTTTTTGTACAAGAAACTACAGTGTTTTTGTGTTGAGCTACTGTTCGGGATTTCTCTGATCATGGATAACCAAATGCGACATACTTTACCTGTGCTATTCCAGCGATAAAGGCATTAAAGCAAGTGGAAATCCGCATTTTCTGAGGGGCAATCATAAAGCATCCCTCCTGCTGATCAAAGCCAAGTAAGACATAGAGATGACGTTTCACTGTGTTGAACGCTTTGGCACTGCTGATATCAGCTTCCGCGCTGCTTTTATCCTTTGCCATGAATTTCATGAGAACCGTAATCAAGTGATGGACTGTCTGGTGATCAATTCCAGCATCCTCCGGTAAAAGGTCCTTAATGATTGCGTCATCCTCTGGAGAATGATGACCTATGTTTACAGTGAAACACAAAGTGTTGGGTTCTCTATTCTCTCTAACAAAGCAGCTCAGACTGTAAAACAATAAAAATTCTCCTTAGCCTAATGGGATTGAGTTGAGGAATCCCTTTAACCATCTCACTATCTACAATTTCATTGAGCGTTTCCAACTGGGTTGAACCACTTTTTCATATGAGAATATCTTTTTGATAACGTTTATGGTCATGATCAGGCTTAATATACAGCAGGATATGGGGACAATAAACAGAGGATGAGACTACCTTTGTAAATCTATAGCATTTCATCAGTTTGATGTTGCCAATGGATAGAGTCATGTCTTCCATCTGCAAGACATGGACATACACTCATGCTTATGCTGCCCCTGTTAAAGAACTTCATGTCCATATTGTTTAATTTAAAATATCTATTTCCCCAAGGCTGCTAAAGCTCTAATCTTGCCTCACATAGCACTGCTGCAGTTGCGTTGGGGAGCGCTGTTAGTGATGGGAAAGAAAACACTTTGCTAGTGACCCAAATACTCAAGTACTTCCAGATTAGGTCGAACACCATAGACGCAGAATAAGCTCCTACCTTAGCCCCAACCTCAGCAGAGCCCCTCTTGCTGCATATGTTAACCGTGTATACGCTTTACCTCAGTGTATGTGCCAATTGTTGGAGGGGAAAATAATGCTCATGTTAATCTCAGGGTTTAAGATTCTATGCCTTGGACATGGGTATTGCTTTACCAGGCAAACCGTGCTCCATCATGGAAGCAAGAATTGGAGCTGACTGTTCGTGTCTCATCAGACGCATAGCTGCAAAAAAAGAGAACAAAAATGATACTCATGTTGTGATCATCGCATTTTTCAGGTTTAAAATTTAGATCTTCCAAGAGAACAGCTGGCCTTTCACTGTTGTTATACATTTACCTGGGCTAAACGTTTAAATGGACAACATGTATGGAGTAATGCCCCACCTGCTGATTAAGTTCAGGGCATTTCAATGATGTAGATGGATAATGAAACATCTCATTTATAGGTTCTAAAGATACCAACCCAAGAAGCATCATTCCATAAAGGATACTTCAATACAAAATGTATATAGAAAAATCTTAGTTTTCTTTAAATAATAAAAATATTTTTGGCAATTTTGCTGGAGCACTAAATAAGGCACTGGCATGTTAGTTTAATAATTTGCAAATAAACATGTACAATGATGAGAACAAAGGGCACGTACATTTTGTATTCATCAAAAGGGTTGCATCCTACTTACTGGAAACAACAATGAATGAAAATGGGACAATATGGCACAGAATATCGTAGAGATGATAATAGAATTTGCAGAATAACGCCCAAATTTAAAAATTATCATCCTCCATATAAACTATCCTAGATCTACTTTCAACTCTTATATTGCCACCTTGACTTTAATAATGGACCAATTACTTCAAACTCAATCATTTTCTTCTGAACAAAATGTGACAAGTGATGTGTTCAGGTCTCCCATTGTCCTCCAGCTTTACCTTTGTGCAATGGTGATTTTTGCAGCCTTCAAAATCATGTTGGAAGTACAGGGGAACACTGCACTTAATTCAGTTTCAAACTAAAATTCAATCTGTGCCGTTACAGCTGTCTGTTCTTTATTGCATTATTACAAAATCAAATTGGTCTAATTGTTTTCATCTGTATTCTTTGTTTTCACTGCTCCTTTTTAAGATGTTAATTAACATTGCTGTTACGGTTTGCTACACTGTCCTTCAGTTTCACTGCTGCATGCACTTGCTTTTTTAACTTTCATTTGACTGTTCTGCTGCCTTTATTTCTGAGTTTAAAGCAGGCTTGTCACAAGCATGAAAATGCTTCTGCAGATAAATGAGCAGTATGAGTAGTAAATGAGTAATCACCTGGAGTAATCTCACCACCAGGTGATTCAGTAGAGCAGGAGTACAGAAAAGAGATGCAATGGAAACAACAGGTTATATTCGAACATATAGCCACACATTAAAAAGCCCTTTGGACAATTACTGCGATGAAGTCAACAGAAAAAACAGTCTGGCAATCATTTAATATACTCATTCTCAAGATCTAAACTCAGCAACTGCTGGAACATACAGCTTAATTAAACCCAGTGTAGAGAAAGTAAGGGTATCAAAGCTAAGCCTGATCCAGAAGCCGAATATAACACAATCCAAGTTATCATGAGTCTATAGCAGACCCACACTGTAAGAAAGACAGTACTGTTCTAAAAGGGGGCTATGTTGGGATTCTCCTGTGTAGCTCAATACCTCACCACACTGGTAGAATTTAACAGCTGTTCAAAAAAAATTGCAATTTGCTTACAAAAGACACTTACGCAACTTGGTGGTCAGAGTTTCTGGGAGGGAAAGTGCTCTCTTGGATTCCCCGGGACCTTTCACACTGTCTCTGAGCGAGCGCACACTCCTCTGTCGGTTCCGTGCAAAGCGAGCCCTCTTGATTTTCCACAAAGCGGCATCACTTAGGTTGGCAACATTTGTCCGTACAGCAGTTATAGCTGCAGTGAAGTACATTTGAACATTAAGGGAGTTTTATTCAAAAGAAGACATTCAAAATCAATAACCAACTCCATTATAACACCTAAATAGAAGTATGAAGCGGCTTCTGACAAATTAGAGATATTCCCAACCAAGGTTTAGGCAGGCCAGATCCTCTCAGGCTCCATCAAACCCACAGAGGTGAGCGAAAGAGAAACTGACCCCCAACTTTGACTACTTGTGGAGTCCTGTAGCTCAGTGGTTAGAGCACTCGCTTTGCAAGCGAGAGACCGGAGTTCAATCCCCGGCAGGTCAGGGCCAAACCTTGGGCAAGTTTCCTTACTCAACACACCTAATAATAATCCCTCCAAAACCAAAAACAATAATAAATTGGTCATTTTCAATCCACGACTGTTTGTGGGACATTGCTGTGCGCAATTGGCTGCCGCGTTCGCCCACAAATATAGTCAATTCACTTTACAGTGTGTTCTGTGAAGCGCTTTGGGACATCCTCCCGACGTGAAAAGCGCTATATCAAATGCAAGGATTATTATTATTGTTACTTTCTTCCCACAGGAAAACACTGGGCTTGCCTCCTGCTATCGTGATCAATATGTTGAATTTATTATTTCCGGATTTATATACAGTACAAGCCCAAGTATGTAAAAGTTTCAAACATCTCTAGTTAACAAAGTTAGAAGTTATATGCCACAGTTACTAAATTTGCCACCACTTTCCTCAGCTCTCACGTTTGTCATCAGAGGAACAACTTACTTTGAAGGATGACAATCTTTCCCCATCTTTTACAAACTAAGAATGATGCTATATATCTGATGCATCGGTAGACGTAATCCTCAATACCCATCCACCCCCAGTCATGAAAAGGATTACGAGTTTAAGTAACAACGTAAAATTTCAACTCACAATCTTCTAAAGCAAAGGTGAGAGAGTGCTACCAACTGTGCCAATCTGACTGTACAGCATGATTAACATGAGGTTATCTAGTGGCAAAAGGCTTCATGAGGATGGGAAAATAAAAGTGTTTCTTTTTCAAAAAAAAGAGGAGAAAACAATAGTGCTTACTTGTAGGAAAAGGGAATTCTTTATTGCAATCCAAATGGAGTTGTGCCTCCAGAGACAGTGTATCAAATCGATTCACAAAGAACTCCCAACTTAACGCTGGAATATCTTCTTTTAAAAAATGAAGTAGAAATAACTTGCTGAGAATCGTTGGTCTATCCTTCACCACAGTATCAAATTGAAAGTCAAGACAGAGACACAGGCCCTAGAATGAAAGGAAACAAAAGATAATTGATCATCCAAACTTCCTCATAACTAATATTCAAATATTCTCATTTATCGACTCTGATCCTTCAATGATATTTATGGGTGGGGGGGGGAGGGAGTTTAACTGACACCACGCACACTTTGGATACTCTGAAATATTGCCCCAAATTGCAAAACTGTAACCTTCAAATTTGCAAAACATTAAAATAGTTTAAAATGTTGCGCACACAGTAGAGGTTCTACAAGCAGATATCAGGAAGCGAGTTAAAGGATGTAAATCAATTACATGGCTTGAATTAGATTTATAAACTGTTAAACCTCTTCTCACAGTTTGTGGCCTGCATCTGAATTTACATCCTGGGTTGCTCAGGTGACTGAACGTTACATGTGGGACCAAACAGGTTCTGAGCCCATTCATTACAGAATTCAAATTCAGAATTTAGTCTAAGTATCCTTTCTCTTTTCAATGTTATTTTTCTTTAGATCGTCCTGTTGCTGTATATAATTCCATGGGTAACATGTGAGGCAGGTGACCTCTAGTCAAGGTCTATCACAATGTAGCTCTGTTCCAGTTGTTGGAAATTGCCTGCACTTATCACTCTGTAGGTAAGTGCTCCACCCGAGATTAAGAACACGGAGTGTTGAGAATAACAGACCAGAAAATACTGCTTCCCATCACTCTGGTTTGAAACATATCTTTAACTCAAGATTTATTCTGATTTTGGAGTGCCAGTCTGTTAGTTCAAAATCCAAATAAAATGATCTCAATTGTCCCAAACTATAGTATTTTGCAAGATCTTCCTTCCTTGAAAATAACTATGAAACAGTTAAAAAATGGCACAATTATTTAGAAGAATATTGTGCTGAAAATAGTGAAATGAACCTTATGAAAGAGCCTGGGCTTGTGGCTTACTTGTAAAGCTGGTCGTTTGATGGAGTCAAGCAACAGTCTGGCTCTTGTAGCCACTGCTGGATTAACATCTTCAACTGCAGCCAGGAAACAGCAGAAGGCATGGGCTAGCGAGTACTTCAGCAGATGGTTCTTTGTCACTGACTGGATATCCAAAAATCTGCACAGAACAGCTACTTTCTCCACTGGATGTCACAAAATTAAAAGAAAACAAACTTCAGATTAAAACGTTGCGAATTGCTGTGACAGGAGACTGAGCATTAAAACACAGGTTATTATGTCGAAAAAAAAGCTTAAACTATGTACAGTTCAGTGCACATCATCTCGCTGTAACATTGTATGATTCAAGACTGAACAGCAATGAGACCTGCAACAGGGAACCACAAAGAAATAACGTTGGTAGTGACTTGATTAACCAGACTTCCAGCATTTTAGCAGGTGAGAAGCCAAGCAGCATTTTGAAGTGTACAGGCCAGTGTTCTACACACAGTTTTGATTATTGGTAAGAACAGTGGAGTAGATGGGACCTATAATATCCCAAGCCATGCTGTAAGGAAGACATGATGGTCAGTTTCACTGCGCATGGTTACAGCCAGCTCGCTGCACACTCTCTGTCTCCCGCTTCCCATTTACTGTGTATGCCACAAAATAGGCAGTAATGTCAATGGTGACCCCAATGACTTCAAAGTCAGCCTTTGTTTGAAGCACGGGGAAGCTAAAATGGCCATCGATCGGGTCATCAAGTCTCCGCACATCATTTCCAAGATTGTATTCCACAGGCTCGGCTCCGCCAATGTTCAGCGCTCTGAGACACTGCCCAGCGTGGAGGGTAGCGTCTCAGAGCGCTTAACTCATAGGTGCAAGTTGTTGTTGTGGTATTACACAACCTATAATACCTCTCAGCTGGCAAAAGCATGCAAATCTCACTCAACTTTTCTTTAAATAAATTACGGAACAAAACAAATATAACTGAAAACAGGACTAATTCATAAATTATTTGCTTAATCTTCGCAAAATAGTCATCACATTACTTTAAGCCTTAGACATTAATCCTATTTTACAAAGAGAAATCCTGGATTTTGTTCACCAAACAATGGAATAATATTACTGCACCACAGAAACATCAGCTTTCATGTGCACTTAGCTCTGTTTTTCTGGTAGCAGTTAATGTCATTAAGATGCTGTTGCTACTGGAAACATCCTAAATGCACCAAACAACACTTCAAAAGCAATTTGATGAATAATAATGAGCTTTTAACTGCAACTCGCAAGAGGCCATCATAGATTTCGTCAAGCTGAATTTGATTTCAGTCTGCAGTGCCTTGGTGTGTCCTCTTGACATGAAAGCGCTATACAAATGTAAGTTGTTGTAGTAATAGTAATAATACATGCACATTCAGCTGATATGGCTTGGCATTTAAGAAAAGTCATCATATCTTACCTGCGTCAAACCGCATTTTCCAGTCTTTGCTGTTAAAATTACTGTCGACAATGCCCCAGAATATATCCGCACCATGAGACAGAGAAAGAGAATGGAGGAACAAAGGTACTGCCACAGAAGCAAGTTGCGAGAATTCAGACTTAAGCACTCTCCAAAGGCTGCAACAATGAAAATAAAACCGGACTTTAGATACAACATTCTATTTACAATTAACTGTTCATGACAATATGCATTTATGTATTTGCAAATTTTTAGCTGATCATTTGAGATTGACTACTATCAGGCTGTATATAGAATCATACACCTTTTAGGCAGAACTCACCTCGAAATTAACATTGTGTCTTGAATATAAGCGAGGAAGTTCGGGTAATCTTTCCTCGCCAGATACAAACATTCTCCATGAAGGCACAGTATCCTTAAACAGTTCAGCATACTGAAAAGAATGTCTGGCTCCTCGAATTTTGGCATTTCCTGTGTGCGTGAACAAAATAAATAGGAATACACAAGAATTCAAACAGATACACTACAATATGTGGACAGGTTAAATAGTCATTACCTGCAGTATTGTATGTATTAGTTTCAATGTAATAGGTAGCTGCTGATAATTGAATTTCCTTTCAGCATCATTCTTGACTTCTATTGCAAAGAAAATAGGTATTTATAAAGCATTAGCCACTGCAGAATAAAATCAAACGTCAATAACTAAACAACTTTGTTTTTAAAGTAGTTGGGTACAAAGGAAATTGTGAGTTAACATTTAATAAGTAGCTCCCCCTAAATTGATTTAATACTACAGAAGTAATTACTGTACAGATGGCAATCAGGCAACTTCTAGTCAAGGTCAAACTCATTAAATTGTTAAATAATTTGCCTAACATATGATAACCCATCACTGCATATCGCTTATTTTGCTTCCAAACACAAAATATATGTTTTACCCACAAAATATACAGTCAATTCACTTTATAGTATATTCTGTGAAGCGCTTTGAGAAGCGCTATATCGAATGCAAAGATTATTATGAATCACATTTCATGAGTTCAATAACCTTTAAGTGACATAGAACGATTAGGCACGGAAACAGGTTATACAGCCCAACTAGTCCATAACAAGGTACAGCTGCATAAATATCATGAAAAAATGCTGACATGGATCTTTCTCCTGACCACTTTGACAACCTTTTATTTGGCATATGAATGATATACATCACATTCCCTGCAAACATACAATATAAACAGGAAAACTCTACATTAATATACAGAAGCTATTGCAACAACAACAACAAAATTACATTTATAGAGCGCCTTTCACGTCGGGAGGACGTCCCTTTATCAGATGGTTATCAATGGTAACCACAGAGTTCCATGTCCCTCAAAGAATTAAACACGAGTTCTGCTTCTACTAAAAATACCTACCAAGGTTTTCTGTATTTTCATTCTTGCAGCTCGGGTTTCCCTCCTGATTTTCAGGTGAATTCTCATCCTCCTCTCCTTCAAAGCCTATAGTGAATTCAGGTCGAGAAAACAACATACTTTCTTCAAAGCTGTCAGTGGGTTCCTGAAACAGAAATAAAACATTTAAGCTAACCTTCTTGCACTGAATCTTATCCTCCACAGGAATCACAGTGAACAGAACATCAACTTCCCTGATTGTTGGTCTCAACAGAAAAGCAAATCACACAGTGAAAGTTTGAGTCAATAAAATCTAAATGTATTTTTTAAAAATCTCTTTTGAAAACAAAACTTCAGCCACGTCAGTATAAACCAGACCACATTTCTTTATTCCCTCTCATGATGCAACCAGCAAAAGGCATAAAACAAGCAGGGCCAGTCAGACAAACTCAACAGCTAGTTAACCACATGTATGAATACATATAAATGGTCACTAAATCCACAACTGTTTATGGGACGCTGCTGTGCGCAATTGGCTGCCACGTTTCACCCACAAAATATACAGTCAATCCACTTTACAGTGTATTGTGTGAAGCTCTTTGAGCCATCTCAACGACTTGATAAGTCGCTATATCAAATGCAGGGATTATTGTTACAAAGCTGAAATAAAATGAATATGCGTTCCTTACCACAAGTTTGATTTCCTCTTTCGGTGCCAATCGCTCCAGCAGGTCGCACCCAAGTTGGTAGCACAAAATGCTGGATTGACATAGGATGCATTCAATTGCCTTTTCATCTTTGTGGCAAGTATGTGAACCTCCCCATGGAGCTTGTAATACATTGTTTATTATGGAAATTATGTCCTTGGACAAGCCATGATCAAGGCCTAGGACTATCCCATCATCTTGTAATTCCATCTGTGAGCATCAAGGTAACAGTTGTTTTTTCATTAAATTGATTATTTGATTTAGCATTGCTAGAAAAGTCAGCCTGTACATTTTTAAGACGAATGTTTAGACAGTTTGCAGTAAATTGGCTATAACAGCCTCCAATTCAAACATGAACTTTGAACTTTAACACAGTGACTTAATTAATCGCTTCAAGACAACAGACTTATTCTTAAAGCTCAGTATTCACATATAATAGCTTTAACACATTCGAATTGGAAACGTTTTGAGGAGAAGAAATAAAAAAGGAAAGAGAGCAGGAAATAAGATTTTGGTGTTCTACAACAACAACAACTTGCATTTATGTAACACCGCTCATGCAGGTTAGTGTCCCAGAGCGCTTGATTTGGTCTACTGCTCGATGGGTGTGAAGCCAGCAGCAGCATCAAACCCTCAGTAGGCTAATGGGCTCCTTCAATGCTATAATTTTTATTATGCGGAAAGATTAAGAACGATGTGAATTAATATAGATACACAGTACACCTCAAATAATTACCTGTTTCAATATCAAATCAAACATCAGAATAAAGCAAGACAGGTTCATATCATCATCCTCACAGTCTACGTCAATGGTTCTTCCTCCTGTGTGGCCAAAATTCTTAAAAGGACTTCGGAACGGACTGCGCATCGGGCTATGGAATGGGCTACGGAAAGGGCTGGGATATGGACTGAGAGTAGCAAGCTGGGTCCTTCGTCCAGGATCGGATATAACACTGACCTGTAAAGGAAAGATGCATTAATGTTAATAATCAGAAAAAGAATAAATTGATTGGACTATTTTTGCCTGGTTTCTACTTATCTCTCTGGGCCGCACTATCCAGATAACCGGAGACGAGTAGGCAACTTGCTCCTGTCTTAATTCAAGGCCGCAACCCCAACATGCTATGATGGTGCATCAAAGCGAAGCTAGGTCTGAACTGCGCTCTTACGCTCGCTTGGCCTCAGCGACAGAATCGAGAAATCAAATCTTGAATCAAATCAAATCTGCCGTGAAGCAGCACATTAGTATTCTAACTCGCTGTTACGCTGCATAGTGAGGAGCTGCAGTCTTAAATGATGCAAAAAACAGTCAAACTAAAGCCGCATATTTAAAACGTACCCTTCGAGCAGCCAGATTTCCTGTCAATTCGCTAGCTCTTGCTTTTCTCTGACTGGCCAGTTCCTTGACAGAGTTCACACCATCAGAAAACATACTGATCAACAGCTGCAGGGGAATTAAAATGTCCAGTTCTGATAAAACCTGTCAAAGTGGCAGAAAATTACCATTTGTTTAAACCAGCAGAAAATATTGAAAGATTTGCACAAAATAATTTGATCATCCTTTATTTAAAATGTTGAAAATTTAATTTATCCATATTCACAATTGATAAATGTATTACACGCCAGCTTAAAAATAGTGCTTCACACATGATTTTTTTTTAAAGCAGCAGTCAAAATCCTTGAACAATACCAAACATAGGTAATATATAATAATAATTATCCTTGCATTTGATATAGCACCTTATGACGTCATTGAGATATCTCAAAGCACCATCAAATGCATTGTAAAATGAATTGACTGTGTATTTTTGTGGGCGAAACGATACACATAGGTGGTAGGGAAAAAGAAAAGCAAACAAATCTTTTCACGATAATTGAATTTAAGATTATTAATTCAATATGACTTATTTCCACCTATGCAATAGCTTGATCTAGTTGTACAATAGAATGACATTTTATTTTGCATTTTACACAATTTATTGTGAAACTCAATCGAAACATAGATGCAGTGATACTATGTGATGCCCTTGAATTTCCCCTACAAGAATCTATACTTACATGAAGCCAAAGTAAGGCTTGTTCCTGTACTGAAGCAGGATAACCCGAGAATCTACAGCTGATAAAACTAAACATCTCCTCCAAGGAAAATGGCAATGGACAGAGCTCAATATCAAACATTTTGCTGAAAAAGTAAAATTATCCTCTGTTAATATTAGTCTTTTTAAAAACATTTAGCAGTACAGAAACCGAACATACACTGATTATAACAACAACTTGTATTTATACAGCGCCCATCACACATTGTGGCATCCCAGAGCGCTTGAGAGTGGCGGAGCACCATGCCACTTTCAAGATTATAATATGGCACATTAATAAGAGAACAACGCATTATCTTTTTTATTCAAAGTGATAAGCGTACAAATATATATATATATATACACATAACAGGAAACGTTTCTAATGCAAAGCACTTGCTTCTGAAATCTCCCTAGGTTATCTTTTATTAACTCCTTTATCTGTGAAACTGAATCTTGTAAAGGCTGTTCTGCGGGATGAATGAGACTGGGTGCACTCAATTAAGAGAGCAAAGCAAAACCGTGCTCTCAAACATTGGCTAACACCGGTAGGAAGCACGAAAATGTAGATTGACGGTCCCTGCACCTAGGTTTGCTGATCAAGTGATATGAAGCATAGGAGTAGTACAAATTATTTCTGCATATACTGCCAGTGCAGTTGTTTTAGTAAGCACTGTGTATAATCGCTGCTGTGGTTGTGATTAATGGACTAGGAAACAAAATAATGAATTTCTAGAATACATATTTAATAAGCTGTCAGTTTTTTTTTCTTTATTTAAAAACACCTGATAAGTACAGTATTGAAAGTAATAACACATAAAATAGGACACAATTTAAAGACTCTTCGAAGTAAACATAATTAAGACAAAAAAGTGGGGAAAGTGATTTTACCATGATAAATTGACCTAAATTTAATCCACAAGATTTATCCCAACGGATGTAGCGTAAAACGCACTGTTAATCAACATTTAAAATGATTTCAAACAAATGGATGTGGGCTTACTCAAACTACCAACTTCGCATTTACCTTAAAACTTCCTTAAACTCTTTCAGTTGGTTGTCTGGCACCTCTGTACGGATAGCTTCCAACCACTCAGGCATGATACATTCCCACACAGCCTGGTTTATGACATTGTACGGAATGAGACACAGAATTCGATTCAATCCCTCCTTAAGTTGCGTCACAGGTGTGCAGTACCTGTCCCAATACCCACCAACCTGAAACACAAAGGTGTAATCCTTTGTTCCTCCCCTAAACAGTAATATTAATAATAATAATCCTTACATTTGGTAAAGCGCTTTTTATATCAAGGAGGTCCCAAAGTGTTTCACAAGATATAGTGTAAACTAGAGTGACTGTATATTTTGTGAGCAAACAGTAATTTATATGACAGCAATAAGCAAATGCAGTTATATCTTTCCTTTATTTATTATTATGGTAGTTTTATGCTGTTGGATCACAAAATATCTGTAGAAAGAAACCAAGTAACCTTAAACGTATTCCACCACTAAATGTATTATGATATATAACCTTAAAAATATATCATTTTCTTGTCTTGTTAAGTATGTTAAATGTAAACCGAATCCGCATTCAGAGAAGTTAAAACAAAGCAAATTAATTCTGAGGGTGTATTGTGTCAAAAACAAACAGATAGATCGCTGTGGAAAGAATACTTACTCTTGCAAATTCTATAGGCTTAGGAAGAAGGCACATAACCATTACGTCAAATCGAACATCGCAAACAGTCTTCAACCATTTGGTGACAAACTGAGGCTTGAGTTTTTCTACCAGGCTGCCGACTTCATCGTCAAGCATGTAAGCAGTGGAATGGAACCACTGAAATACCATGCTCACCAACCTGGCTAAGCTTTCTGTTGGTGTGTTTTCGCTTGGAGTGCAAAGACTGACCTGCACAACAATAAGGAAACAGAGATTTTCTATGAATAATTCAAACCTTAGTTTCAATTAACACAGTAGAATATTGCCCTTTTACTCGAAAACAATTTGATTGGTGCTTTTTTCTGGTGGTGGGAATTTCTCTAACCATGCATGCGATATTTCACTCTCACACACAAAATAATGTTTCAACAGTCAACAAAGCATAGTATTCCAGTAGCAATTTTTTTTTTTGGTCAGCCTGGTTTCTGAAACGTGAAACCCATCCATCACCATATTGTATCCAAACCAAACTGAGAGTGCCATGTATCCCATTTATACATGGAGTGATACGTTGAAAGGGAGGTTGAAAATTCTACGGGCAATATTTCTGCTGGATAGAAATTTAGCAACTTGTAGAAATGATCCAAATGTAAAGAACATAGAAATGTAGAGCACTGCACTCGTTGAGAATGAATAAGCATAAAAATTGATACCCAGAAAATGGGGGTAACTTTTGCATACGAGTTCAATGGTAGTTTCTCTGCACTTAGAGGTATCCATCATCTTCCAAGCAGATCTGTTCCAATATATTACATTCTATTAATTGTGACATTTGTTTGTTTTTCTTATTTACCAAAAACCAGATTCCAAACTGGCTGAGGAGTCGCTGATCAGGTTTATCATCATCCTTGTTATCATACTCCACGTTGTCCAGGGAATGATGGGACGAGGACAAACCCATCTGTCTTCTCCGATTTAATTCGTACTCTCTCTGCTCTGCGTAATATTCAGCCTCCTTCAACAAACTAAAGGAAAAGTTGAAATGCAATTACTAAACGTGCTCCCAAAAGTCACACCTGGATCATCTTAAATTCTAAAGAGCTCTCCCAATAGCTTTTTGTCTTATTTATACATTACTCATATTAGACAAAATCACTCATTTTGTTCCTTCGCCCTTGGTTGCCACTCAATACACAAAGCAACAGGAGTTTCCATAGCTAGCGGTCCACAGCCCACTCTCCCAAATGAGGAAGGTAGTACCACAAAACAAACCTCTAATGGTGGCCAGATAGTCATGAAAAGGCACAGAGCAAACAATAGGTACTTCTCCAGACAGAGAGACTGAGTCAACAATGGTTATTCTCATGTACTTCCAAGCAACCACACTTGATAAATGCCTGATAATAGTCAGTGGCATAGGAAGGATTAAAAACACTGACTTTAATCTTTTGGCTAAAGCATGGTTTACAGCTGGGAAATGAATGAAGTATCTTCAGAGTAGACACATCGGCATTATTTGTTGTGAACACGGCACATTACGTTTCAAAGAAATTATACATGTACAGCTGAAGCAAACAAAATTCAGACTTATTTGAATTGCAATGAGTAAACTAAAAGCATCAATGAATGACAAAACAGTGGACTTGAAAATGATTCATTACAACGGCCAATAAATGTACCAACTTTATTATCATCAGGTATTATTCTACAAGCCCAACATTATAATGGAGGCATGATGATGATACATCTTTATGAGTTGCGTTGTAAAGACATTTTGTTGATTACCTGACGACTGATTCCACAGTGCAAACTAGTTCTTCTGCACCACACTCTCTGGTGCTCATAGGAGGGGGAGACGTCTGATACAGGTGAGACTCTGCGGCAGCATCAGTCTCACTGCTGTGGTGGTTGTAATGACACCTTTTGCAGTAGCGAACTGGCTTGTTCCCATGATGGCCACAGCATCCTGCCGAGAAGCAGGTAACAATCGCTCTCCTAACGTGTGAGCTACAATTCTTATGAGGAGTAAAATCTTTACATTAATAAACAAGCAACGCAGCTCTCATTTCTATGATGAAGTTTTAAAAAAAGGGAGAGCTACAAAATGTTAAATTTCAGGAAGCTAAGTGGTAGTAATAGTAGCTCGGTCCTTTATGGAATGTTTTATGTAAGACCAAAACTGAACTGGTGGCCAGGTAAATAATGATGATAATAATAATCCGTGCATCAAATGTTAGGATTATTACTATTATTATTATTTAATATGATGCTTTTCACATCGGGAGGATGTTCGAAGTGCTTCACACAGGTTAAATACAGAGAATTGCTTGATTCTTATGGAATCTTTGCTGATTTTGCAAATTAATTGAAATCCATCATAAGTAATCTTCATATGAAATTTTAGTATTCGGTACATATTTTGGAAGACCGGTTCAGTCAAAACCAAAGGGCTAACAACCCTGCCAATACTCCCAACTATGTTTTCAGTCAGTATGTGTGATCAGCTGAGCCCCTGCGTAAGATTTTCTACCACTGAGAAAAAGAAAATCACACCCCATTCGTTTTGCTTTTAGTTGTGCACCTTAACCATAAAAGAGCACTGGCAATGCAAGATGTGAGGACATGTACAGTCCAATACCCTACCTAAAGGAAGGCTGGCTCAGTGTAAAACATAAGGCTTTAGTGAGTTCACATATGAAACCATTTACTGCTAAAAACACGCTACTGAACAATAGGGTCCACAGGGAGCCACGGTGTTTAGCATCCCTTCTGATGTGAGATGCAAATCAAGTGACGTCCTAACTAGGAAAGTCAATCATCTGCCAAGCACACTTGTGTGATCATAATGTGTGGTCACAGGCTCGCTGCTGGATGTCAACTCCTGTTGGCAGTGAGCAGCTGCAAACAGGTTGTGCTCCAGCAACTGGAGCAGAAATCTTCCTCGTTTTCTATTTATATATTAGGTGACAAACAACAGGAGAAAACTGTAATCAGGCAGATGTCTCACAAAATTAACACTAAGGATTGTCGAAAGCTCTGGAGGACATGACAAAATTATTCTGAAGTGCCAACAGTCAGAATTTCCGTATCATAGGGTACACTGTTTTGTGCAGATGATCACATATCCGACCTCATGGAGAAAGCGGGGTTAAATGGAGTATCCGTGATAACAAAAGGTGTGCAAAATAAACACAGAATGGTTATAAAACAATATATCAGTGAATTTGGGAATTTAAAACATCAATTTAAGAACGGAAACATCTATACGGATTACTACACAAGTTTAGCATTTGCTCCGTCTCTGTCAACTTCTTTTTAACTGGGTAACACCCGAGAAATAGAAAAAATGGATCTCTTACAATTACAGTGGAGTATAGCACAATATGCTATTATGTACCTTATGTAAAATTATACGGTGTACCTGAACATAATGTATATGCCTAAATACTCGAAGAATCATTTTCATTATAGAAAAAGCCCACTGTTTATGGACATATCATGGGTATTAAGATTAATTTTTCTTAATAACACAAGCCCAGTAAGCACATTCTTTTCGTGTTCAACCATAGTAAACAGCTGCTGCTATTGTTACCAATGTAATCAGTCTTTTCAATTCTTGGCACTCTAGTCCATCTGCATGCACATTTATTCTGAATGACTAAATGTTACAAAAAATCTTGTTCTGATTTTCTAATTGAACTTCTCGCCAGTGATTAGCACAGGAATTTTACTTCAGAAAGCTAAAGAAATCAATCTTCTCAAGTTCAAGTGACAGCCAGGATGGTGGAAGGTGAACTAGATGGAACTTGGTTTTCTTTCGCCAGCAAATTCTTATGTTCTTAAACATGTTATAAACTAAACATTTGTGGTTCATTACATTACTTTGTTCCATTGTGCTGCAACATTTGGGGAATAATTGGGTGTCTTGAAAATATTCAGGTGAATATCTTTTTGGAGAGAGATTGAATTAATTTAAAAATAGGATAGCCTTTAGATACATTCACAGTTACATTAAATTAATACAAAAATTGCCTCAGAACTTTGAAATCATATACAAATCTTTCTTTCTACTTGGAATTTTTAACTTATTTAGGCACTTTCCAAATCTAATTCAGTTACCAAAAAAAATCTGCTCTGGTAAAGATTAGCTACAACAAAAAACTTTCAAAATGAATCCACTGTATTTATTTTGTTCGTAAGCATTACATTAAGTGGATAAGCAAAGGAACTAGTTTTCCATCTGCAAGAAAAACAGATAATATAAGATGATAAAATACTGATAAAGAGAACCATATGGTAAAGCACATCTTTTGCTTGGACAACTAAGTGTAGAATACACAGCTAACTTCTTCAGAGACAGAACAAATGCACAATCAGCCACAATGTAAGAAATAAACACTGTTGCAGAAATAGTTGATTCGGATTTTATTGGTGATAAAACAAATGAAGGAAGAGTTACAATGCTTCAAGCAATGTTTCAAACTCAAGAGATGTTGAGTAGAGATACTAGAAAATAAAATCCAGCCCAACATTTATTTTCCTGGTCTTGAACATTTCTAGATGCTGTTAACAGAACATTTCAATGTAAATACTTGAAGCTACTTATTTAGTTGCCTGAAACACTGGCAAACTCCTGAAAGCATGATACGGCACAAATACACCACAATATGCAGCATGGTGATCAAACAAACTTTTGAACGATGAAATGAGCTGCGAGAGATACAACAATAAACCACAAGACAGAAACCACAACCACTTGGACTTTTCCACCAGTCTTACCTTCTTCTGACATATAGCAGATATCTCAGCTGTAGGGTGAAGGTACACAAACAAATCAAAATGGACAAGTAACCTATAATCATTGCTGGATTGTTTGTAGGATGACAGATAAGGACATTTTGAAAACAATATTTTTTTAAAAAAGTGGGCCAAGTTCCAACACCCGCAAATCAGATGCATTGCATTCATTGCGACTTCTGATTTGAGAGATTCATGACCAGCAAATCTCATAACCTACGTAGGCAAACTGAATGTTTCCCACCAGTATTTTGGCGGACAGACTTATTTTTCGGACTTTGTGAGAAAGTCTGATTTGTTTGGCAACAAATCAGGTTTGTGTATACTGCAAACCATTTCTATAAATATAATGTTTCCTTGCTCATGTTTTATTTGTTATTTCAAATTTCTCCAAGTGTAACTAATATTTTGATTGATAAAAGCTTTCCCGGTATGGATGCACATATTTACAAATGTAGCTAAATAAAGGTTGTTTGGCTGCCATACAACATGTCTGTTTACTCCAATGATTTAGCAAATTCAATCATATGATATGGCTGTTGTCTGCGTGATATTGGAGTCAGTAAATCATTGTTACCTGGAATTGGTATTATTTATGACCAATTTTATTCAGTCCCCACAAAAAAATATCAACCACTTCTGTGATATTTTAATAAAATATGATAGTGCAGATTTTATTCTTAGAAATAAAATAATGTACTCTGAACATCCCAGACTCCTTTCTGTTATTGTCTCATAACACTGTTATGGAATAAACTCCACAAGGTAAATATGTTGTAGCTCTTTCAATACAAAAACAAAACTAAACGTGACCTGCACAAGTATTTCCAGTCACAACTCACCTTGCGGAAGAAGAACATCAATTAGCCATTCAGCTTGATCACTAAAAAAAAGGGAACGAAAAACAGAAAAAGTACAATTTCCATTAAAACGGCACATTCCTCTTCAACTTCAATTTATTGCTTTTAAAAAAAGGATTTTAGCAATAAGATCCATTGTAAACCTGTGAAGTGTTATGAATACCGGTATACATTTTCGTAAAACTACTCACCCTGCAATCCTTTGGCTACACTCTTCGCACAAGTATAACGGAGGTGGCTTGTCACCCAGTGCCACGGAAATTGATGGATCGATGCACATCTTCAAAATAATTCAGTAAAATAAGATTTTGTTTAATTAAAAACAATCATCTTTTAAAACTTTAGAAACAGAATTTTCTAATATTGTAATTTTGTTCATTTTGGGCTAGCAGAAGACAGTGAACAAATTCTCTAGCTTCTCAACTTGGAAGAACCACATATGAATTCCAGCTTCTACTAACACAACAACTCAAAACTCCCTTTGATAGGCCAGGAATATGCAGTCACAAATATATATGTTTTCTCCTGGTAATTAGTATAACCTCAATTAAGAAAACAGCTTGATGCTGTAATGGGAAAATGGAAGGATGGGTATTCTAGAGACATTCATCTACAGCTAATACATGCCAACTTCAACCTAAAAGTTAAATATATATTATATGTTTGTAAAACAAAGGAAAATAGACACAACATCCACATACCTTTACAGCAGGTTTGTTGATCGCATTTTGACATTCAATATGTTGACAATGGGTAGGGTTCCAAGCTGTCAAAGATAATAATCCTTGCATTTGATATAGCGCTTTACACAAATACACTTCTCTTATGACTCCATCCCACATTCCCTTGGCCTTGCTCCCTCCCTTGCCTCCTTCAAGGCGGGTCTCAAAGCCCTCCTCTTCGACCAAGCCTTCGGCCACCCTCCTATCCACCATGCCCTCCACCCTCCCCAATCCCGATCCCTAGCTCGTGTCCAAATCCCTGACTGGGACATCCAGCACCTTGGGACATCCTCCCAACATGAAAGGCGCTGTACACATGTAATTTGGTATTGTATAAATATGCTTCATTAATATTCGGCTAAGAATGATTATACTCAGTATCACCTGCCTTGTCTTTTAAAGCTTTCCCCCTTAACCCATGACATTAGTTATGAAAAGGCTCTCGATACATTTTTTTAAATTTTGGATTATAATTGTTAAATTTAATTATGTTTACCTATAGATTCACTTAGCACTCATCTCATGAGATGTTCACTTTCTTCCTGTATTTTTGACTGTTTTAGTCATTATTGAGATATTAGAAGATTCTATCTAGTTAAAATTACTGTACAGGCACAGCTCTGGGGCAGTCATAGAAATGGTGGGGTAAACAGCAGCACATTTTAAATCTTCATGAATGACAAGTATGTGCTAGTACCATGCACACAGGGTATGAATTCTACAGATTCCAACTACATGCACCCTCCAGTTATCACCTTCCAGTTATAAGTCACAAAATAAGCAATTTAAACAGCACTCAGAACCAAATCCAATGCTACAAAAGTGGAGTAGCATTTTGACAGTGGAAATCTCTACCAAGCATCATGTACGAAGTGATTTCTGATTACACATTCTCTAAAAATGTCATACCTGTATATTGTAGACCTCTGTATTCACTGATAGCTCCAGGTGGCTTTAAATTGGGCCAGTAGTGGAAGAGCATCTGAACAGCCGGGGGTTTAACTTGAGAGGGACCATAGGCTATCACATACAATAAATCCTAAAAAAAATTACGTTAAATATTTTTAGATTTTTGCAAAAATGTTTAAAGAGATTTAGTTACGCAACCTTAACAGTACAAATAAATGAAACATTAAGTAAACATGTTATTTATAATAACTTGTCCACCTGCATTTATATCAACGTTAAATAATATTGATTTAGGATGAATGGAAGTTAAATACGAGCATGCATGTACACAATTTGAGTTATTTTTCAATCAGCAAGTATAAAAGCTAAAAACTAAGCAAAAGTACAAATTAACATGGATTTGATTTTCTTCTGTGTTAGAAAGGGCTACTGCCCTCAGAGGTTAGCTAAAATGAACCAGGTTACTGAAGATTCACTGCTTGCCAGCAAGAACCCAGGATAATAATTATTAATAATAATTAATAATGTATGAATCATTATTAATTATTACACATTATTAATAATGTATAATAATTATACAAATATAGGTGTTTGTGTATTAGAATAAATAAGTAAGCAGAAACAGAACTTTCTTTTTCACTTTGCAGAGCCACCCATGAGAAGATATTTAATGGAAATACAGTATTAATAGGGGTGTGGGCTCATGTGAGGTATAAACTCCGCACAGACTAGTGGCACCAAATGGACCTGGTTGTACTGTAACTCTATGTAACTCTGTTATGTCACTTACTTTCCAGACCTCCTGCTTGTACTTCATAAGACTTTCGAGCAACTGGCAATGATACACTGTGAGTAAAAAACAAACACACGTTGTTTAAAGCTGGTGTTTCATACTGTTTCAGCAATGATTTCATTCAAACTCTGAATAACGCCTATTCATAATTTCTGTACGTTTTCAAAATTTAGGCATAAAATACATTTGACTATTATAAACATTTCTCATACTGTACTTAAAATATCCAACCCCCAGCTTGGGTGCAAACCCTCAACTGTCTTGGGACGTCCTCCTGACATGAAAGATGTTGTGTAAATGCAATTTGTTGTTGTTCTCACACACACGCAATCATGCACACAGATCAGAGTCTAAAGTTTGAATTCAAATATTAAGATGTACAGTCACTGTTTGCAGAAGTAAAATATTAGCAGAGCCAACACTGTAGTTCAACGAGCAATAACTTCATCAGCAAAACAGTCGCTTGTTGACATCGCTCACAAGCATTTCCTTCAGCAAGTCCTGCAGCAGAAGCTTTTAATTAACCTTACAGAACTTGAGCTTATTCCAAAATAAACTCACAGGCAAAAGGAAAATTGCAGTTTGAAAACACAGCAATACAAAATGAGCATGATAACCGCATCTGAAATACAGTAAACGTTTTAGAACAGGCCCCGTGTATTCCACAGGACCATGTTTAACGTTTCAATGTTAGAAGGAGATAATTTTCATATCTAGATCTTTCATAAGATTAGAAATAGAATCTAACAGTGAGCGGTCAGTGAACAGAACTAGGCTAATCAATTAAAGGTTTGCATTTTATTTGCCTAAAAGAAGATTAAACTAACAGGACTCCAAATCGTACTAATCTCAGTAAAAGAAAAAGTTCATCTGAAAGTCAAAATGTAGCTATATTGGTCATATTTGCATTATAGATCATTGATAGACAATATTGATATTTAAGAACTTGTGGCACAAAGGAGCGTACACTCACACTCAGAGCGTACACGCTGGTTTACACTTACCAGGATTTGTTGTATACTGCATAGCAATCATCAACATTGCCGATGCAGAAACATTCACATAGGGTGGAACACTTTCTCGCTTGGCTGAGCCCACTGGAGAGCAATTGATAAGCACAATAAGTCTGAACATTAAAGTTAAAAGGGATTTGCAGTATTTGATACATTAACAGAAATTAGGATGGTTGAAACAAATCAATATGGTCCCAGTTATACAACTGGCACAAAGAGTATGGTTAACAACACAGCAAAATGTTGACAGAAAATAAGATTACAGCCTTACAAAACAAATGTCTGCTGATAGAAATGAGCAAAAGAGAGAAACAGCATAACATTTCCGAGCAAACATTTCTAGAATGTTGAAGAAAACTTACATATGGCCATTGGAAGGAAAGAGGTGCTGAGATACTCAATGATATCCTTGTGAAGAAATGGAGGGAAAGTTGCTAAAGTGGAAATCATGGTGTAAGGTAAAGTGCTCAGAATGTCATCGTTGAGGAATGGCAGCAAACAGGCTGTTGTATAAAATATGGACTGCCCTAAGTCTGTTTAAAAAAGAAACCATCGTTAAATACAATTCAACCCTGATAAGCTCATAAATAGCTTGCCAAAATATTCTGCTTGGATCAGAAATTCACTGGCAATTTACAACGCTGGGCATGCAGTATTTGTATTTTAGCCTATTTCTCACTCACGATACAATTAAATACCAATGTTCAAAGTATGCTCCTACAGAATAGCTGTCAGTGTGCAATATGTGCAATACTGACAATAAACAATGAGGTGATTAATTGGATGATTTTCATACTTGAATCAGAATTATGTATGTGTTTTGCTTGGCTTTAGAAACCAGAAGGAAACTGCAGGGATTTGTTACACAGTATTGGACTTCTACACTTGCATTTGGTGACCATTTCCTCAGGGTGAACTGTATAATTGTTCTGACCCTAAAGAGTGAACTCTAGAACTGTTCAATAATTTACATTGTGGAGTTTGGTGTTAAATTAAGACTGCATTAATTAAAAGATGCTCACAAACCAAACTTACATGTCATATCATCTTTTGCCTACAAATATACAGTTAATTCACTTTTTTACAGTATATTCTGTGAAGAGCTTTGAGACGTCTAGAAGACGTGATAAGGTGCTATATCAAATGCAAGGATTATTCTTATTCTTATATGAATATCAATATTACCTTTCATTCAAAATTGGCAACAATAGATGAGATTAACTTTACTACTTTCTATCATGAGCTGGTAATGGAGTCTCTAACTTCAACAGCTTCAGGCCTGACTTGCCCTGCAACAACCAGCTAACATATAAATGATCTTAATTATAAATTACATGAAGACCTCAATCCAAGTTGCCTGCAAGCATTAAGTATTTTCAGCATAAAATGCTGGCCCTCGTCATCATTACGTTTCTTAAGTAACTTCCTTCTTTTAAGACAAATTCAAACAATTCGGTAGAGTCCGGAATCATGACATTGCAACTTGAAAGAAAGGAAGCTCTACTCTGTCACCTCTTTAATATTCAATAGTGTCCACGTGTAATATCTGTGTTTAAAGTGTAGGGGAAATTGTACAAAAATTCCTCAATACAAATCACAAAAGAAATGCAGATACCTACTGGTATTGCCCGAGCAGAATAGGCTCAACTCATAGCAACCTCTGCTTACCATGTTGGCCGTGTTGTAGCAAAGGAACCAGGTCAAGCAGAGTCACCAGTGTCACATAGAGGGCTTGATAATCCAGTGAAGGGTATTCTGAAAGTTGTGCATCCCGACTTTGCTGACTACGCTCAGTGGGAGCATCACGGAGGACGCTGTAAAGGAGGGAGCGAGTAACAGTAGGGTTGATGGAACTGACTTGAGGTCTTAGGGATGGGGTGAGTGGGAATGGCACAGGAAAAAGACACATAGTCATGGGGACTGTCAAATTGGAGCCATCCAGGTTGTCCTTCCTCCCTATGCGGGACAAAATGCTGTTTTGGAACAAAGAAAAAAAAGAGACAACAAAGACACAAAGAACAGCACATTACATTAAAATGACACTACAGACAACATAATAAAATACCAGATTAAATGAGCACATAGGATCCAACCCCAACAATATAGCAAATCAATTATTCTTTGAATACACTGCGGTCGGTATTCTAATCGGCGACTTGAAATGGGATCAAAATTGCTCTCGTATTGCATCCTATGTGCTATCTGGTAAGAAGGAGCAAATAAATATAAAGACATGTTCTAGGTGCCACCACCGTGTAAAGAGTTTTTTTCAATGATACAAATAAAAACAAAAACAAATAATTATTCCAAATATGAAAAAATCCAGTTGAAATAATTGATACAAGATTTAATCTATAATTTTATCTTGTATTGAAAGGCTAGTTCAACTTAGGTTCAAGTATAAAAATCTAACTGATCTTATTTTACATTGCGTATAAAACTAACTTCTTTGCAACATTTGTAAAGATTCTCTTTTACGTATAATCTAGTGAAAACGTTTGATTAATTTACTCGGCTCTATTTTATGAACCCAGTGGACTGGAAAAACAAAATCAAGAAATATTTATTCCTTAGCATCTGTATCTATAAACCAAACACTGTGATGAAATTTAGATCAACTATAGCGCTGCACCATTTTGATCTGCAACAACTGATAGCTTGCAGTTCAATCCACTGTTAATTATTAATTAGTGCATTCCGATATCACTTTAACTTTGCTGCTGCTGATAAAATAAAGCTTGGTTATGCTACATAATTAGTTCAATCCAATTCCTGTACAGAATACCTCTAGCTCCCTTGCCATGAAGCGCTTTGGGACATCTCGAAGAAGTGCTAAGGCGCTATATCAAATGCAAGGATTATTATTATTATTGTTATTGATACGATTTGGAGTCTGCTCACAAAACCACCTCAATACAATGCCCATGACTGCAATATGACATTATTTAGCTCTAATCAGGCCAAGTTTTTACACACTTAAAATATTAGGTCTTTAATTTGCAGAGAATCAAGCTTAGCTGTTCTTAGGCTTGCTAATGTGATGGGCGAGCCATTCACAACCCCGATACTTTAGAAAAATTTATAAGTAATGTAGCACCAGTCAGTTGAACACGTGCCAAGGTTTCCTTTAACAATTTAGTCAGAGTAATTTGAGTAGGTACACATAACTATTGTTTCCTGTTTCAATTTACTCCACTATTATTACCGTATGAAATCAATGCCAATCATATAACTGGGCCACAAGCAGTTTCCTTTTCTCTCTCCCTACTTTTTAGAATTCCTGCTTTTTTTTCCTCCTCTAGTTCTCACATATCACAACTTCCCAGGCTTCTGCTGTTCCATAACAGAACAATTAAAAGATCACCCGATGGTGACTTGCTTATTGATTTTCTCTGTTCCTCTCAAAGGGGAAGCAACTCATCTGTACTCGCTATTGTAAGGGTGAAAGCATTGAAAATAAACACTCTTTGGATTGCTCCATGAAAATCGATAACTTTTTGTGGTCATTATTTTCTACTTGTAAATTTGATATCCACTAAAAACTCACTAAAAAAAAAATTCACTAAAATCAAAACACACTCAGAAGAAATACAATTGTCGGTCACAACAAAATTATAGTTCATTCACAAAGGGGTGGCACCTATAGAAACATGTTTAAGGAGAAGAATAAACATGTGTGTTTGATATGTAAGTCTCTAAACAGCACATGTTTATCACACCAAAATAATGTCTGTATGTAAGTTATGATACTGTGACAGTATCATTAGGGATAATGAATTTTAACAGGTATATGATTTAGTAAAAAAAATATAGAATTCTAAGATGTAACTAAACTACAATTGTTGGAGCTACAAAAGAATATATACTAAAAGTCAATGATTGATAGCATATGTTTATGAACTAATGGTAATGGCAGTTTATGTACACTATTGATTGTTCCATAAGATTTACTGAAATAAAAGTTTTGTTTTGTATTTTCTGTAATACAAACACTATTTTGTTCTCTGTAAATATGACAGTATTATTTCAGTACATTATTACTGACAAGAAGTTGTGCAGATTTGAGAAATAACATGTCCAGGAATGCGATTTAGCAAAACAAGGTGATGGCATGTCAGTTTTTGAGATTCAACCACCTGGGATCTATGTCTTTTACCACACTATCAGTCCAGGAATGATTTACAAATTATTTTCAGCTCGGCAAATGTGGTTCCATTAATTGGACCAATGAAATTAAACAGATGAGAATTTGAAATCATCTTGATCTCTTCATCAGGCTAAAAGAAGCAAGAAAAGTATTCTTATCACTTTTCTTATTAATAAGAATTAAGTGTTCTTACTACTTTACATCTTATTTGGACTTATATTAACTCTATAAATCCAATTTGTAGTCAGTCGGAAAAGTGATTATTCTTTTCACTTCTTTTACTTCTCTCTTCCTCCCTGTGAAGGAGTATGATTGCTGCAGTGCCATCAGCAGTCTAGTACATTACTCATATCCATTCTTCAAGATTGAGCCCAGATATTACATATTGGCAAGCTATTTGCGCAAGAGAGCATCTTTGTACAGCTTTGAATCTGATCCTTTCTTCACTTGAATTCCTTCTTGTATCTAGGAAGGCTGAGTAAATTAAGGACAAGTGGTGGATTTCTTATAACCTAGCCCAGTAGTAATGAGGACAATTATCGCCCCTCTACAATTGCACTGGCTGAAATTGGAAACCAAGTGCAAGCCTAGGAATCGAAACTTCTTTATGGCTTATTGCTACGCCACTCGTACCTTTGCCATTAAGTTATTGGTGGGGCCATAATTCTCATCCTTTAAATAGTAACCGTATGTTATAAATCATGAATGATTTACACACACACATATATGTATACATAATATATACATATTACATAATCTTAACATCAGACAATATTTACGATGGAATACTTGGTCCAACAAACAGTATCACACAGCATTATCTATACAGCTGGACAAATTGTTGTCTAAATTTTCCTTGCACAATGTATTATTATTATGAACTTAACCAGTCAGTATTTTGAAAGGCACAAAGTGCATTCTGTAATTAAAAGGGACATGGCACAACTTTTTGCCTGCATAACAGTTTTTAAAAACAATGCATCATTATATAATAAATATATCCACTTTTATATTTATCAACACTAGAGTCATTTAAGGCATATATTTATTAAAGACAGGCTTAACATCATATTCTTAAACAGCATTATCATTTTCTATTTCGATACTAGTCATTAAAACAATAAACTCCAAAGAAAAAGAATCACTGTATTTAGTTTTTATTTAAAATGTTCAGGCTCAGTTCACGAATTATGCTCATCCGGTGCAAATACAAGTTGAACACCACATGACATCCATAAACAGAAAAGCTGATTGGGGAAGTGAACGGCTTACACCTTTGAGGGTGGTCATTCAATACGTCTTCTCCGAATCACCTTTACATCATGGAATGAAAACTCGATTACAGCCAGGATAAGCATAATCAAGCTCATTAGCTCTGAATTTTCTCTTCTTCTCAAAGTGCCGGGGTACAGTTCCGCAGGCTCAAACCATTCTCTGGTACTTCATCAAAATGCCCACAATAAAAATAATCCTTGCATTTGATACAGCGCCTTATCACGTCTTCGAGACGTCTCAAAGCGCTTCACAGAATATACTGCAAAGTGAACTGATTGTATATTTTGTGGTGAAGTGCGGCAGCCAATTGCGCCCAGCAGCGTTCCACAAACAGTGGTGGATTGAGTGAGCAAATTATTATTCTTTTTTTAAGGAATTATTACCACCGGAAAAGCGATCTCCCAGCCTGGCTGAGCTAACTCAACACAGATCGGGAATTGAACCTGGGATCTTCCAGGCTGGCATTGCTCAGTTAAACTCCAGCGGTGGCTTTACCAACTCAATCATCGGAGGAGTTAGTTGTGTATTTTACATGAAGGAAATTGCCAGCTTTCAGGTTTCATGGATTTAGTTTCCAATCAGTGAGTTACGTGACAAAGATAAAAAGAATTATGGTGGAACGTACAACTAGAAATCAGCAGCTTATATGCTCCGTCTGCCAGTTGGTACTCTGATGATACCCTAATTCCTTGCTGCATCACAGATCACATGAGGGTAGTCTTAAGATATAAAACGTGCTGGGACATTCAGAGTAATACATTTTCACAGGATATGCATGCAGTAATCCTGAATCTGCACCATCCAATATTTCCACTAGTTTTGCCAATATCAAGAAAACAGGACAGAGATGCCCATTTTTCAGTTTACTGTGACTTGGCCTGAAAATGCATGTCTTTTTTGCTTACAAAATATAGTCACTAAATCCTGTGAAGTGCTTTGAGACATCCTCACTAGATTAAAAGCGAGGATTATCAAATGCAAGGATTATTATTAAGAACAGAATAGGGTTTGACTACCATGCCCCACAATCGGAAAGCCTGCTGGCACTCGCTGATCAAGCTTATGTATAAAGCACTCGGGCTCAATGCCAAGCAGAGCCAGCGCCTGCAGAACTGTTCACCACCATAAGCAATTACTTTCAGAAGAAATGGGAGAAAATAGTCATCAGGTCTTGCTCTATAAAATTTCTAAATAAATCTTTCCTTTCAGGTTATGCCAACATGTTTTTCACATTACATTGGATGGCATATTCAATTTTAAACAGCTGCTATCAGATATCCAAGTTTATTTTTTGCAGAATAATAAATAGTGTTCATCTGTTTCCATCAAGTCTTTAAAGAAAACTGCAATATCCTAGTTTATATTTAATTCACAAAACATTGCTCCAATAAAGCTTCTGGCACAAATTAGTTCTTCGGGTTTCATATGCATAGAAAAAAAAACACATTTCAGAATCGATGTTTCTATCGATGCTTGGTTAGTAGTAATTAACTGCTTTAGGGGAAAGAAAATTTCTGTGATCACGTAATGATTCAGAAATCCCAGCTGCTGGCTGAAATGCGTTGAAAGATAGGATTGTTGGGGTAAATAGAAAAAGATGCAAATGATGGAAATGCATAGCAGATAAATCGCACTCCAGAAAAAAAGGTAGCACAGTTTCTGATACAACTTGATGTACAGTCCGATAAAAAGGTCATACGTCAAACAAAGCATCAAATTACATTTTTTTTGGGTGCTGATTGACTGCTGCACCTAAATCATAGAATTATACAGCATAGGAGGAGGCCATTCGGCCCATTGTGTTTGCGCCGGCTCTTTGAAAAGATCTGTTCAATTCAATCTCACTCCCCCATGCTCTCGCCGTAGCCCTGCAAACTTGTTTTCCTCAAATAATTATCTACCTGACCAGCAATTTCTGCTTTTACTTTGGAAGTATGAAACAGTTGCTACTGATGTCTTTCACTGATTAATATGCAGATAAAAAAATCTCTAATCAACTGCAGAAACACATTAAAAAAGTACTCTTATAATAATAATACTCCCCTGAACTGCTACTTTTACTGATGTGTTAACTGTCATTGGCGAAGAACATCACATTATTATCTATTGACAAATGTTGCTCATGATCTTGCCAAAGCAGTTAATGCCAGGTAATTGGTTAAAAAAAAATTCCCACAATTGTTCCATTATTATTAATGCCAGAAACTAAATATTGGAAAATGTTTTATGCGTGCGAATCGAGTAACAGTTGTGGAGCCTGAAGCCTAGTTTTTAACAAATTAGCAAAACATTTTACTTGATCATTCATAAAAATAGAAAATGTATATTAACTAACTTATTTCAATAAATCCTCTCTACAACATTTCAAATAATACATTTCTGAATAGATTTTCTTAAATTAAAAAAAATGCTTACCTTAATAAAGTCTGTGAAAAATACTTCAATGTGTTTGCTATATCGGTTCCAGATGGCACAGGATAAATATTATGAAGGACCCGATTGTGGTACTCTTGTAAATAACGGATCTTAGATGCAACTAGATAAATCAGAGTTTTGGAGAATTTCAGGTTTTTATTAAAAATGTTTTGCTGCCAAATATATATTTCAAAAAATCTGCACAATTTATTTCAGATATAAGGGTAAGTGAGTTTTGTTTATTATTCTTCCCCTTCTTCTGATGACTTTGGGAGATTTGGATCTATGGGTAAGGTTGTCCTCCCAACACCTCATCCATATGTTTTTTCTTCATGTGTGAACAAAGACATAAACTAGGTATTTGTCTCTCAAATGCTATTCAGCCAAACCCAATTGTGTCCTCACGAAACATCCACATACAGTAAATGCAGTTTCCAGCCAAATCACAGATTAGCCATCCGAAACAAGAATACTAGATATTTTTACCACACCCCCACCCATGGTTCAGAGATCCGAGGCTGATGGTTATACTTCATCACACCACCCAATGATGCGATTAACCCAAAACAGATCATGGAGCAAATTTGGCATCTTCCTCATCTGTCTGGGTTAGTACTTCCCACATCGGCAGTGCATTTGCCACTGATTCATGAGAGAGAAACTCTGGAACACTCTTCCCCTATCCCTCCATCTTGCGCCTTCCTTCCCCATCTTCACCTGAAGACCTTCCTCTTCGACCGTGCCTACGGTCACCTCCCCCTGTCCCCGGCTCGGCATCAGGCTCCGCCACTGTTATGTGCCCTGGGACAGTACCCTGCGTGAGGGACACTATATAAATTCAAGTTGTTGTTGTAATTGAGAGCTATTCTTGAAAATGTTACAGGCCAAATGTATTCAAAAATGGCATACAATTACATATATATATTATAACATATACTATGATATATAATAAAAACACACATAAAGCGCAAATACAAACTTTAGCTTTAAAGAGTGCACTATACAACATAGGTCACAGGACTAAATGCCACACACAATCATATCTCAAGACCCAAAACTTTACCTGTTTCATGTTTTTCCAGTGGAACTAAATTTTCAAAGTTTGCAAAGAAACAATGGTAATACAGCAGGATCAAAACATAAGGCACAAGTCACTGTCATTTCACGCTTTGAATCTTTGTTTCAATATAACAAGAAATGATGGCTATTTTGCTATGTTTTCAGTGACATAAAGGTAATCACAGTTCAAATTGTGCATTCAGATAAATGTAGCACCTAATGTAATTTGGATCCCTAGTTTTAAAACATTAGGCTCCAACTTATTAGTTCATCGTCTTCTAGTCTACAACTCAGCTCATCAGTACATTTACTTGTAAAACGGTGTCAGGTTACCCAGTATATAATTTATTTCAATTGAAAAATATACAAATCTGAGAACAGAACATTTGGATCAATCAGTGAGGTCAGCTGAAACAATCACAACTTTGACACAAATGCCTTTGCCTCGCCTGCTTCGCTTAAGAGATTTCTATTCACCGCTCATCATCTTGACAGATATGTTGTCGTCTTTAAAAAATAAGAAAGACACAGTTGCGTCTTATCGGCTACTTTTATTTCACACACTGCGTATTCCACCTATGGAAAACTGGAACCCTTCAACTTAATTCTAGCATTCGGAAAGTTGCAATGAATGACCCGCAACACAGAATGCGATTTAAAATCAGAAAAGTCAAAGGCGTTGGTCGCAGCAGCAGATACTGTTTCTGTAGGAACCAGAGGTCTTACAAAAAAAGGACTGGTACCCTGGTGCCTGTTCACAACAGGTAACCTGCACAAGTCAAAAAAAAAACACACGCCTGTTTTTAGTGACGCTTGCTCATTGATAGAAAAATAAAGCAATTTATTTGCGAACCGGGCTTCAGTGGGTTCGCAATCTGAATTTTTTCTCTCTCTCTCTCTCTCTCTCACTCTGCTCATACCTCACTGTTAGCAATGGGTTGACCTTGGCACATTGATTGATTGATTGATTGATTGATTGATTGATTGATTGATTGATTGATTGATTGATTGATAACAATAATTCTTGCATTTGATACGGCGCCTCGCGATGCATTTGAGACGTCTCAAAGCGCTTCACAGGACACACTGTGAAGTGAACTGACTGTATCCGGAGAGAGAGATGAGAGAGAGAGAGAGAGAGAAAGAGAGAGAGAGGGAGAGAAAAAAAGATAGATAGATAGATAGATAGATAGATAGATAGATAGATAGATAGATAGATAGATAGATAGATAGATAGATAGATAGATAGATAGATAGATAGATAGATAGATAGATAGATAGATAGATAGATAGATAGATAGATAGATAGATAGATAGATAGATAGATAGATACCGGGTGGGGTGGGGGGGGGGGGCTGTTGCCTGGAGACGCCAATGAGCAGCAGAGGCCGAGGCGGCCGCGGGCCCTGTCACACACACACAGCACATCACCGCCACATCAGAGGGCCACACGGCCCCGCGTGTACTTACACTGTTCGGCTTTGGTGGACATGTTCTCCTCTCTCTCTCTCTCTCTCTCACTCACTCACTCAATGGCGTTCGTCGCCAACATCAAAGACGTCGCCGGGTATCCTCCTCAGGGCCGCCCCTCCCCCTCCCGCCCCCTCCCCCTCAGGCCCCGCCCTCCTGGGGTGGGGGGGGCGGAGCGATGTGCCCAACGCGCCTGCGCACAACCCCGACCCCCCCCCCCGGGAGGAGGAGGAGGAGGAGTTGACGCATGCGCCCATCCCGTTCGGTGCCACCTCAGTGCAGCTCCATCCCTCCAGTGCAGCAGCAGGGGCTGTGGGTGTGCATATGGGGTGTGGGTGTGCATGGGGTGTGGGTGTGTGCATGGGGTGTGGGTGTGTGCATGGGGTGTGGGTGTGTGCATGGGGTGTGGGTGTGTGCATGGGGTGTGGGTGTGTGCATGGGGTGTGGGTGTGTGCATGGGGTGTGGGTGTGTGCATGGGTGTGCATGGGGTGTGGGTGTGTGCATGGGTGTGCATGGGGTGTGGGTGTGTGCATGGGTGTGCATGGGGTGTGGGTGCATGGGGGGCTGTGGGTGCATGGGGTGTGGGTGCATGGCGTGTGGGTGTGCATTGGGTGTGCATGGGGGGTGGGTGGGTGCATGGGGGGCTGTGGGTGCATGGGGTGTGGGTGTGTATTGGGTGTACATGGGGGGTGTGTGTGCATAGGGTGTGGGTGCGTTTGCTGAATGCATCAGGTAGCGCATGCACCTGAGCGCTGCGCCCACTCGTGGCTCAGTCACGAGAGCCCCCCACCACCACCCTCTGAGGCAGAAGGTTGGGGGCCGAGCGGGTCCACCCTTTTTGGTCCTTCGCAGCCCGGGCTGACACTGGCTTGGGACAGTAAAAGGCTCGGCGCATTAGGACTTGCGTGCATTACGACACCTTGTCGGCTCTGGGTGTAGACGTTAGACGGAGGGTCGGTCTGCCCGTTCGGGTGGGCGTTCAAAGATTCCCCTGGGCACGACTTGAAAAGAGAAGGAAGTTTCGCCCAGTGTCGTGGGCAACGATCCCCAGATAAAATTGGTCGTTCACTTCATAGCCGAGTGTGTGATATTGGCTGTGGCGTTTGTCTACAAGATTGTGTTTTGAGATTAGCAAAGGATTCATTGAGGCGGATGTTAATGGACTGTTGCCACTTGTTGGTGAGTCGAAAACTAGTGAGCATAAGTGTATGGCATCCTGAACAAAATCCGATAGGGAGTTTAGGATGAACAGAATGGTGAGAAACTCACTGCCGGAAACTGCGACTGAAGCAAAGAGCGTCAATGTATTTAAGAAAAAATGTGACATGTACATGAGGAAGAAGGCAATAGAGGAGTACAGTATGGGAGAGGGGATTAGGAGGGACAGGGCTCCCGTAGAGTATAAACACTGGCTCGTTGGAACAGTTTTAGCACTCCCAAGATACAGCCTTGTGTGAAAGGTACTATATAATACAAGTTATTGTTGTTTCCGTGCCATATCATTCTAGGTAATTCTATGTAAAAGTAATTTAAACTAATATCCCCCTGTAAAGGTCTTTGACATGTTTTGACCACATAACAAAGAACTATATCGAATGCAAAGATACAGTCAATTCACTTTACAGTATATTCTGTGAAGCGCTTTGGGACGTCCTCCCGACGTGAAAAGCGCTATATCAAATGCAAGGATTATTATTATTATTATTAGAGTGGAGTCCTGTAACTCAGTGGTTGGAGCACTCGCTTTGCAAGTGAGAGACCTGAGTTCAATTCCAGGCAGAGGGCGAAACCTTGGGCAAGTTTCCTTACTCCACACAGAGCCTAATAATAATCCCTCAAAAAAAAAACAATAATATATTGGTCATTTTCAATCTACGACTGTTTGTGGGACATTGCTGTGCGCAATTGGCTGCCGCGTTCGCCCACAAATATACAGTCAATTCACTTTACAGTGTGTTCTGTGAAGCGCTTTGGGACGTCCTCCCGACGTGAAAAGCGCTATATCAAATGCAAGGATTATTATTATTATAATGCACTGAGTTTGCTGCAGGAGTCAGTACACCAAACAATGCACTGGCTGTGTTAGTCATTGCACTGAGCAGAAAACTGACTCTGACAGTCAATGCATGCAAAGGATATGTAGCCTATTCTGCCAGTTTATTGCATTGGCACTGTCTCCTGAAGTAAGTTAACTGAATGATCCTTTAAGGTAGATGGCGTTAAGGCAGCAAAGTTGATGCCTTTATATTGTTCCGATGTTGAGGTGGCCTTTTCTCCAGTTAGTCTCTTAACTTATAATAATAATAACTTTCAGTCCAATCACACAAAGATGCTCTACTTCAATCAATCAGCACTATGAAAAGAACACACAGAATCAAAGCTTGGGAACCAGGTGAAATTAGCAGCAGCAAAATGACACCCAAATTAGGAAATACTGATAGTTCATTCCAATCAATTCCTGGCTCAAAACTACCGAGTTTATCTGCCATGCTGCCTGGGGGAAGGGTGGAGGGGTATGCTTCCACAACATAAATTTTATTTTCTCTGAATCAGTTTTGACCTGTTGCAGCACAACACAACCCAGCTCATAGGAGTCTCCCCAGACCAGGCAAAGTCACAGCAAGTTGATCCTAGCAGCAAGTCAACTGACCCCATTTTGCCCCTCATCCCACCTGCGTATCTCCTGGATTATTTCTCTCCACTCTCTATCCTATAACTTCAATGCTTTGTGCAGAGGGGCTTCAATGAGCACAGTTGATCTTTAAACAGATTAGTAGCTATGTTGAATGGATTACAAAACTATAATCCAATCAAGGATGTCCTAAATTTGGCAAAGTAGCATTATACTCACTTTATATATCACTTAAATGATATTTCACATACTGCTAACCAAGGATATGAACTTTATAAAAGAAACAGAATTTTCTGAAAATAAAGCCTTCAGACAGAAAAACAGCAAGGAGAAACAAAGGACGGAGATGCTGGAAGCATTTTGAGGGTAAACGATTAAATGCAGTGGAAGCTAACTGAAACTGTCAGCAAATGAACTGAAGAACTTTGACCAGTAAGTTGACCTCACTAGTGAGCCATGGACGTAAAAAAAAACTATCCTAAATAACACGAACAACTGTAACACAGTATTCATTTATTACCATTGTACTCATATGTAGTATGGATTAATGTTTAAAGAAATGATCAAAAACAATTCAATTTGCACTTATATAGTTCTTTTCACGTAGGAGAGCATCTCAAAGCATTTTAGAGACACTTCACAAAACTATCTATTTGTTCACTGCCATCATGCCCATATGTCAATGCAATAACACTTAAAGAAACTGTTGCAAAGAACATAACAGCAGTAATTTGTACTTATAGAGTGCCTTTGGAACCATCATTGCAGATGAAATTGTTTACTTGTACCATAAATTATCAAATCTAAGCCAAGGATAAGTCAGCAGTTTCAAAGCAGAATTGTGTGATTCTCTTTCTCTTCCACATACAAAATATTGGGCAAGTTTCCTTACTCCACATGTCTCTGTTTACCTAGCAGTATGTAGGAGCCCAGTTGTTAGTCGATTGACAGATCTCTTTTCCAGGGATAATAATTCCTTCAAAAAAATAATAATCGGTCCCTCAATGCACGACTGTTTGTGGGACGCTGCTGTGCATAATTGGCTGCCGTGTTTCACCCACAAAATATACAGTCAATTCACTGTGAAGCATATTCTGTGTCTCGAAGATGCGATAAGACATGGATCAAATGCAAGGATTATTATTATTATCTGCAGTGGGCTTTCAGCCATTGTGCCCCGGTCTCTGGAATTCTATCCTCAAAAACTTGACTCGCTCCCTCCCTCAACCTCATTAAAAGACTGCCTCAAGACCTACCTAGTCATCTTTCCCCTCTGCTCCCACCCCCAGCTCAGGTGTCCAGCCAGCAGGGTCAAGTACTTTGAGACGTCCTCCCACTATGAAAGATACAATATAAATGTGAATTGCATTGTAGAATATTTTGACATTGGCGTTCCTCCAGTTTCTCAGAAAATGAAATTTACTGTGACAATCACACAATCCAAGAATACTTCACCCAATGTGATTTCATGTTTTAATTCTCGCAATGCAAAAGGTGTGAAAGACACTGTGCTTACCATTTTTTACTGAAGCACAAAGAATAATTTGGATGTAAATACATTTCTATTACCAATATTATAATAAGCAAATGAAATTCACTGCAAAAAAAAACACATTAATAAGACAACCACATTAGTAGGGTGACCTTAAAGTCTAATTTTTCACTGTAATAGACATTATGATCTTATAATCTAGGCTGATACTCCAGTACAATATTGAAGGAGCACGACTTCAATGAAGGTGTCTGAGACCCATACAATAAAAATCATATCCGAAAGCTGTTTAATTCATAAGAAGACAACACCCAAAATAGCCGCAGGCTAATACATACGGAGCTATAGTTGCAGGAACTTTATTTGAAAGCAACTGCTACAATAATAGACATTTCACCAACACAAAATATACAGCCAATCCACTTTACAATATATTCTAGTCAGCACTTCGAGACGTCTCGACGACACGATAAGGCACTATATCGAATGCAAGGATTATGTTTGCTATTATTATTAAAAATGGAATAGGTTACTTTTGCAACTAAAAAAAACACAGTGGACAAAAGACTGTTGTGCAAAGGCAAAAGAGAGTTGAAGTACAGTACTTCGATGTCCAAACTGGAGCCAAAGACTGGGGAACAAAGAGATCTCACTGTAGCTGTGGGTTGGTCTCATCCATTCAGAGTTTTCTTTTGCTTTTATTCTCTTTTGCGATACTCTGGCACATGATGAAGAACCCAGCCTGCTGGACCCAAAATCGTCACTGCGAAAACCGACAAACAAACCATGGATGCCTGCAAAAAAACAAATGCAAAACGTTTTCAGAAACCTATTTAACCAACAGCCAGGGAAATACTCTTAGCATTTCATACAGATTTTAGGCTGGGTGGGTGGGTGGGTGGGAGGGAGGGAGGGTGGAGAGTGGTGGGGTGGGATGGGGTGGGGGAGGGAGAGGACATTAAACATTAAATAGGACCAAACTCTCAGATTCAGTTCAAGTCTGTTCTCCC